CAGGAAGTCGCGGGTATGTTACCATCGAGCTTTGACGACGGACGCCTCTAATATGTGAGGCGGGTGCTAGTGCGATGGAATTCGGCCAGTGTGTACAAGATGCCAGAAGAAGAACACCGGTTGTCAGTATGAGTTGCGAGCCGGTGTTTCTCGTCAAGTTGCCTTGAAGATCTTTAACGTTGATCTGAAGCGTGAGAACGCCGACTTGAGAGAGCTTGTATTACTCCTGAAGACGAAGAGTGAAGATGAAGCAAAAGCAATACTCAATATGATCAGATCCCACGACGATCCTCTCAGTGTTATCGAGAAGCTTCGACAACATAAACTGCCTTTCGCTTGGTCCGACACGCCGGGCCAGGACTCTGATAAGGCTGACGAGAAAGTCATCAAGAGTGCGATCCGGGTCCCTGCCCAGCCGTGGACAAGTGTGGCGACCGACGAAGTGGTCTCGGAGCTGATCACTGCCTGGTTCGCTTGGGAAGACACGACACTGTTTTCGTATATCACACTAGATCTTTTCGTAGCAGACATGAAAGCAAGCGATCCAGAGCGTGCGACATTTTGCTCTCCCTTCCTCGTCAATGCCATCTGTGCTGCCAAAGCCATCAGTTGCATCGCACGAGCTCATAGAATGAGAAGTGTCCACAAGGCCTTCAAGTCCATGGACAAGCCTGCCGCAGACGCAACGTCTGAAAGTACATGGGAGCTAAGCGAACGATTCCTCGCCGCTGTGAAGGAGCACTTGGAGCTTCAGTGCGGACGGGCTTCGCTTCCTACCATCCACGGACTGTATTGTCTTTTTCAGCACGCATCTATCTCAGGAGTAGATCGGGCAGGCTCGTTCTATCGACTTGCTGCGATCGACATTATAAGCCGTCTCAACCTCACAAAGGTAGACCACGTGCTCAAAAGGGACATATTGCATACTGCTAAGAACCGAGCTAGACGACACCTGAACCTTCAATACCTGAATTTGGATGAACCAGAATGGCTCGCCTCGCTCAAATTTTCTCGCTTTAGCAGATGTCAGGATATGTCAGGATAGTCTATGACAAGGGTTAATATTTACCCATCAAAACACTTTCAATTCAAGACCTTCACACTCTATAACCCATTTCTCAAATTGGTGACAAATGTTAGAAATACCGGGAGCAGTTAGTAGGTGAAGGGTGTATATCCTGGCGAAGAATTGTAACGATACGCACGAATCGGCCATCAACGCTGTGCAGTTATGCATTGCCAGCATGATCCTCTGTCCAAAAGATAATCGGAACGTCGGGAAGTTAAGCGCTAGACTTTTTTAGTCATGGTCCAGGAATACCTGCATCGTGTATAACTATGCACGACTCGAAAATGTCCCGCTAGGTTGACATCGTCTGCGACCTATCTATATATTCACCTTATTCACATCTCTTCGAAATAGTTTTATTGCAAGCTTATTTCCAACTTCGCACATTGTGCATCGTCAGCATTACTTTAAAACGTCACTTGCAGTATGGCTGACAACCCACCGCCTTCGAAGGACGAACAAGACAAAGCGAGACGCGCAGTTAACGAAAATATTATGAATAACCCGGCGGGCACAGCACTCGTTCAGGCCGCGGGTCTCTCCTCTCAGCGCAAGAGACAAGAGCTCAAGGAAAAGAAGGAGAAAGAGGAGAAAGAGATGAAGGATGACAAATAGGTGCGTCATTCGATCCAGTACTCTTTTCCAAGTTGACAGCACCGAAGCTGTCGCTCCTAACATTTTGACAGTCGTTCCTTTAGCATGTCATGCTTCACTCGAACTTGAGGGTGGGTATTGGTGGGGCAGTGTACGCGATTCGCGACACATCGGTTGACGAATTCAGTCCACATTACGGTCTACAAATGTACTGAACACTATTAAATCGAATCAAGATTTTATTTGAGAAATTTTACTGCATCACCGTATCCATCCAATTTCTTCTCATAATCTCTCAGGTGCTGCATCTTCGTTTTCACGAACTCATTTCTCTCGCCTTCTGGAATCGCCGCAGCAAGTTCATCGAAGTCAGGTACTGCCGCCCGAAGTTTCTGGAAGGGGACACATTTTGGGCCATTAAATCCTTCCCAAATGATATGATGGAACCACATTTGTCCTTCCTTTTGCTTCTTCATCATTGTTGAGAGTCTCTCTTCCATAGGCGCAATATCTTGAGACGTGTCCACCTCTTCCTTCTCCAGCGCCTGAATGAGTATATCCAGGTATTTGCTATACCTTTGGAGCCTCTCGTCTTCGCACGCCCATTGGTTAGGTCTATCAATCACTAGCCAACGTGGCGGAGCACAGAAGAGTTGGTATGGTCCGGCATAAGACCACTCCCAGTCGAGTACTGCGACGATCTTGAGGTCTTTTGTGTTATTGACCATCATATTTGCTGGGCCGAAATCATCGCAAATCAGTTTGAACGGGCCTCGGTCGTAGTCGTGTGAAACGAATCGTGGGACCAACTTCTTGAAAACACTCCAGAAGGTGTACTTCAATCTCGCATCTTCTTCATCGTCAATGGAGTTTAATTGTTCGATGAGATGTCGCCAGTCTTGTTCTGCAACGTACTGTAGATATTCGGCTGTTGAAGAAAACGTTGTATTCCCAGGACCTATGAGGACGTTAAACCAAGCTCTGTAACGAGTGGATTGACACACAAAAAACATTGACTCCGCCAACATTTAAGATTTCATGTGCTTTCCAAGTCATAGGGCGTGAGGATATTGTCGCAGCGAAATTGGTATCGTCGTCATTATGCGACTCATTGGATAAGCTGCCGATCCGGGGGAAATTGAGCTTGGAGAGTTGTAGCATGAAGTGGGCGATCTGCTTGTAGATAGTTTGAATGTCTGCATCTTCGACGTCTTCTCGGAGCATTCTGGACTTTTGGTCGTTCTGATCGCGGAGAAAATCGGCGAGACTGACACCTTCGATGAAGGGGGTAATGATGAAAGGCCCTAGTTCAAGCTTGTTTTCCGAAGCCAGTCCCCAAGCCTTCACTTCAGGTACAGGAATATCAGTGTGCTCGCGAATGACTTTCATAGTCGCAACTTCAATTTCGATCTTCTCATCTGGATTCTTCACCTTCCCGTCGATAGGGAATCGCACCATCCAAGCTTCTCCGTTCGTGAAAACGACCTTACAAGTCCAGTTGAACGAGCCACGTTTTTCTTCGGCGATCGCTTCGTTGGCCAGGTGGCAAGGTAGGTGAGACTGATGGAAACTCGACACCCAGCTCGTCAACCGTTCTCCCCGGCATTCTTGGAATTTAATGGACCAATTGAGAGTCCTGCTCAAATTTTCAAGTTCGGTGCAGCTGTCCCAGTCCATGAGCTTGAGATGCGAGCTGGATTGTAGCCGTCGAGAACAGGGAGATCGCGGTCGATGAGAGGGTCGTATTCGATGAGCAGGATCGTGGAACAAGAAATGAGAGGATGTTCGCGCGGAAGTAGGAGAGAGTGTACCGAGAGGATTGCGAGAGTGTACGGGAAAGAGTGAAGTGTGTATGGACGAGAGACACGGGATGCCTTGGAGCGGCGTGATAGAGCAACCCTGCAAGGGCTTGGCATTGTGACAAAGCTCCAAAGCTTGGTAGCTTTTGGCCTTAGGCATGCCAAGCAGTTAGTAGAACTACTCGTCAAAGAGCTGATCGCGCCCTTTCATTCCATTCCCTTTTCGCTCCTCCACAATACGTTTGACCCGCACCATTTCATCTGCTGCGAAAAAACCGTTGCAAAAACCCATATCGTCGCTTGCTCCAGATTGAAGATGAGATCAGCCACTGGGAACGTACTCACCTGGACCCCATTCGGTCCACCAAGTAGAAAACAGGTTCAGGTTCGAACAATAGCCAGACTGATGCTGTTGATCCTGAGTTGTATAAAGTACCAATCAATCGACAACCAACACACGGGTCGTGCGCATTACATACATGACACACCACCCAATCTCAGCATTTTCTTGTATCTGGGAGACAAAGCTATGACCAACGAGGTCGCGGAGAGATTCTCTGCGCTCTGTCATCGATATGAAGTCGACGGCATTCTCTGACCACTCGGCCAAGTCTAGGAGCGTGTATGGCCGATGCAGCTTTTCTCGCTTGTTCATCATGCTCACCAGCATCATTCCCAGTGCCGAAGATGGTGACTCTTGCTCATTGATCGAGCTGTCGGGGTGTCTCTCTAGAATGTCTAGAGCGGTTAGCCTTGAGAGCAGTATCTAGGTGGAGGAGTCTTACTAAGCTTCAAAGCCCCCTGGATAGACACGAGAACATTAGAGCAAGTCACAAGGAATGTCACGTTCTGCGATTGCAGAAATAACAAAGCATCAAGCGTCTATGGCCAGTATCAGCTTTGCAGCTACGGACATCAAGAGTCATCCAAACCTGTTTTGCAATGATGGCCAGCTCCTTCTCCTTTATACTCCTGGGGCACCCGACCATATGGCCTAGGGAAATAGCCATGTTTTCCAGGACAATATATGAAGCGTCGTCGTGATTGAAGATCTCGTATATCTGACAGATGTTCGGGTGTCTGCGTACCTGCGAGGCTTCCAGAGCACGACTTGCGTCTCTGGTACTTTTGATCATATACAAAGCTCTTGATCCTGTAAGCTTCCGGACAACAGCAACAGCACCACAAAGCTCCACCCGATAGAGACTCTCGTACGACGACCATGGTGATAGCGACGATATGGGGATTTGGCCGCGTGGCTGAAGGGCAGAGAATTTCTCGGGCACAAGTCGCAAATCCCTCGGGTTTCGAGAATCAGACACAAAGCTCCGTTGGCGTATGCGTTTTGGTCTTGATACCTCGGTGATCTCTAGGATTTGTTCATCCTTGTGGTCACTAATAGACGAGCTTGAGCTGCTTCCAGGCCAGACAGTGTGTCGTTTCGTTTCCGCCTGCATAGACATGTCAAATCGCAGGAGTGACCCAGTGACTACGAGGGTTGTAGTTGAGGTGGTTTTGGTATCTGGCGTATAAAATATCGTTATTTTGTCTATGAAGCTTATATGATTCTCGTCATGTACATTTTGCGCTGACCCAAATTTAGTCTTAGACTTGAAAACAGCAGTGCGCCCTCAATGGCCTGGAATCGGGTCTTGACCCTGCCTTACTTGTGTGCCAATATGGACACATGACATGTTACTAACAATGCGACAGACTGAGACCGCCTGTATCGGCGTCAGGGAAGCCATTGAATAATTCCCGCATTCGGTAACTGAAGACTGTGAATGTCCATCCCTGCAAGTACATAGCGATAGCCCCATCTCTGATTCTTTCGTCGCCCCACGAAGGGAACACCGAAAAGTCTACGGATCTCTATCCACCCAGGCTCTAGTTCGACTCGGACATGATGTGCTAGCTTTGGAGTTATACGATAAAGAAGTTCTCCATCCCCCGTGTCAAAGGTCTTTAGTAGCGTGCGAGCCAGGGCTGTGCCCCCAGGGCAGAAGACAAGACGCCTGGGTTTGCATTGCATACATGTTAGAAGATGATCTTCGTAACGGGTAATGATTGATATCTCGTACTCGGTAGGCCCTCAAGAAATTGATCTTACAATTTGAGGTAAGAAATGGACCGTGGGAGCAGCCATGCTTGTCAGTAACTCGTTGTTACTACTCGAAGCGCATGGCGAGACGAATCTATATAAGGCAGGCTTTCCTATCTACTACCCTTGCGTGATTGATCCTGACATTCCACGCCACTCTCCTTGTGTGGACTGTTATCCACACCATCCAGTTTCATCTGTCCTCGCGCGGCGCGACAGTCTCATAATGGTAGCAGACGTGAATACACTGCACTGGTCGCGGTCCGGCCCATTTTTATTCCTGGTACCAAAAATAGCCATAATGTGGAAGGGCGCTCAAGACGCTTCACACATTGCGCCCCAAGAGATGATGGGGTGTCATACACATTTAGAATGCCTGCACCGTGCAGTCTAAATGCACGCCTTAACCTTGTTCCCCTCTTCCACTAAGCTTCGTGCGCCATATCTAAACCCCTTCTCTCAAGTGTAACACTGCAGCATCTTCAAAAGTCATGCTAAAGTTTGCTCTCCCAGTGATTCTGATCTTTTTAGGCATAGCGACAAGCATGTCCTGGCAAGATGCTCGGTCACCTCGATTGGTGATGTACTATGATTAGTAAGCATATCCTGAAGCAACTTTAGGCGGAGCAAGATACTAAACGGGCATCAGATGGCATCCAGATGCCTCGATAGATTTGATCTGTTCCAAAGGAATCACGCATGTTATATTGTCGTTCATGCTAAGCTACCAGGCTAAGTGGCTAATTATCGTGACGTAGAACAGCTCTAGGAAGATGCAGCAAGCTAATAGCTACTCAACACTAACGCCATCTCAGAGAGTTTTCTCATCTACCGTGGACGACCCGTAGCGAATTATGTGATCCTTCGAGCGCCCCTGTAATGGAGAAATAAGCATGCACACAGTGGGAAGTATCGATGGATCATGCCTGATGCCACACGGCCTCTCTTGCTGCTCTTCACCGTTGCTACGCTGCTTCGATCTGTCGAATGGAAGACAGGTATGAGTTGCTTGATCTCTGCAGTGATGAGAACTACAGGGCGCGCTGGTCAGTACTGAGCCTTTCGACTATCTTTAATTTGTTATACAGGATTCTAGACTGCCAAGACTTTGGCGAGAAAACAATGGCGCCAGTGTACGCTACAACAGAAGACTCAGTAAACAATACAGTGCTTGTCCTCCATCACTCACAGCGTCCGCTAGTAAGCCAGTACAGTGCGCCATACAAATGATTCAAACAGTAGGGGCGTCAGTAAAGGTGCCTCGGCCCTTGTCAGATATTTTAAGTCCCGCTTGTGGTTATTTGCGCCTGGAATGCGGACCCTTTAGCATCATTCACACCTAGCAAAACGACTGCGCTACACGAGCATCATGTCTCAAGCAAGCTCGCAAGATGGTAACAAGTATCTGATCAGCCACTAGGGCACCCTTTGCTTCTCTGACACGCTCCACTAGATTCTCCCATGACACTCGCGTGTTTCGGTGGTACCTGTGCATGTTTCCCGTGTCAACCCCAGACCTTAACACCGGCACCAGGGCTATCAGGTCTGCGTAGAGCTCTGTATTGTTCAGTTGCGGGAAGAACAGTCCTCGTGTATCTTGAACGAGATGGGTGCGGAAATGTGCTAGATAATTGTCGTGTCGCAAGAAAGTCTGACGACATGGTCCTTTAAGACTGCATTCAGCCCTGTGCAAAGTCGCACCAGACCAGTAGTGCGACCTGCCAACAGCAATCCCCAGCCCCTCCGTACATATGTCGTCTATAACATGTGGCGATGGACAAATAGAACGGCCATCAAGATTAAGCTGCGAGTTTCGGTAGGTGACAGTATACGGACTGGAGGGTTGATTCTCGGGCCACTGGCAAGGTGAGCTGCCAAACTGCTCACCTAGCTGCATAGTCAGTAGAGTACGAATCACCTTCCGGTCTCGTCCACCACGACCTGAAACAGAGAGGTGAATTGTTGACATGACGTCTATCAACCATGAAAGAATACCACTATGACTATGCTGTATTATATCTATACCGTAGTAGGCTATACTAGACTCCAGGATTTACAGGGTTAGTGGAGCCGTCTAGATAGTGAGCCGTTAAACCCACGGTACTGAGCCATGAGATCCACAAAGTCATCGCCGCTCTCCAATCGGCTAGGCCATGCTGAGCCACAGATTCCGCTAAGCTATCTCGGAATCTATATCTGAGCCAAACCATGTCAGTCGCCTTGGCTATACTAATGATAACTATACTGGGACAGTGTATATGTGCTATCAGGCTCGCAGGAGCTTCTCCTCCGGTCTACGGGTGCAGACCAAGCCGAGTCAGTTACAATACGACGACACGTACATTATGTTACTTGTCGTTCAGAGACTTGCATAGTAATTCTAATTGAGAGCACAAGCGGCAAGGCAAGCCTGATCGTCGCACTGAAGACTCTGTTGGAGGATTTGCATCCGTCATCGACTACAAGCTTACCTTCACCTTTTGAATGCTACAGTAATCGCATGCTTTGCGTAGTCGATTCGATTTCTGGGGCCTCTGTCCGTCATTGTGGTGCTACTAATGTTGAGTCCAGCTTGCTGTTGAGCTTGCTGGGCCGTCTGTTGTGCTTGAGCGGCTTGTTGCGCGGCTTGCTCGATAGGAGAGTTGTGTTCGTGTAGTTCGATTGCAAGGACGGGTCGGTGAGTGAAGGCTCGATGTCAGGATATGTCTCTGGATATTGGGACATCTTTGATACCGAAAATCGAAGAATCGAGTCGAATAGCATCACTGGTCCGTATGGTATATGGTAGAACGCATCGTCATGAGGATAATTTTATACCACATAGTTGCAGACGTATTTAGTCTACCGAAACAAAAGATGTAGGATGTTGTTGTTGAATAGTAGTCATGGCGAAAGCATCAAAGGACTTCCACCAATGACTGGGCTAAAGCAGTAGTCAACGCAATGGTTGCACTGGTACCTGCCACCAACGATTGTGGCTACGGAGTCTGTGTGTCCAGTCTGGTGAACGATCAGTATCACTGCAGTCTATGTCCATGCTATGAGCAGCTTCACTCTGGCAAATCGCATCCTTCCGGATATCCCTGCACAACGAAATGGAGTTCCAGCCCTGATCGCCCACTGGGTACTACAGCGTGTCTATGTCCGGTAAGAAGTGAGATCTCTGTGGGCCTAAGGTTCTTGCCACCTGACATGGGACCATCGTGAGCTCAGTCGTTGGAGACTCAGAAAAGTTGACGGAGCCAGTACCATCAGTGATTCATCCTCATAACACACCAGAATCTAAATTTATAGAATTGATTCTCTAGCGAGTTCATCTCCGAAAGCCTGCTAGATACATGCAGTAAATCGATTGCGCGTTCTGTCTGACCTACACGTTATGATGGGGTTGAAAGATAATTGCAGCACATCAAGCACCATTACAAGAGAGCACAATGATAGATACTGTAGGTCTTCCTCCACCACCCCTGACAGGGTGACGCAGTATACGGGCGGCTGGTGTGCGACAAAGCGGCACTGGCACTACTGATCGTCGTATGCGGGATCAAAAGTAAGTCCTCCCGCATGAGATTGCTTCGATGTATGGGTGCATGGATTGCCGCCAAGAGCAGCTTTATCCTGCCAAATCAGACCATGCAGGATATCCCTGCACAACGAATTGGAATTCCAGCCAACTGGCTGGGTATCATCATGATCTCGTCTGGGGGGTTCAATGGCTTGACGTGCCCAAGGATGAGGCGATTGCACGGCCAATAAAGATTGGCCATACGTGGGGCTGCCTCGAAGTCTTCCCAGCGCGACTTTGGTATCGACGACCGTAACCAAAATTCATGTGCCAATGGTGTCTCGATCGGTGCCTCTTTATTTCAACCCGCTTTCTATTAGGTCAAGCCGTCCGACGGTCCAGGTGGACACGTCCATTGTGACGATACCATCTGTTAGTTTGACCCCTGCAGCTACCAAGTCGTGCTTGGTTGGTCGAGGCAGGCGACATGGAATGAGACGAACGCCGCCCTGTGATGGCCAGTAATTGGATTTGATAATCCTTCTCGACCCACATGTTAGGCAAGTCCGCCCCTACCAGTGCCTAGGAAGCTGGGAAAGAGGGCAAACCGGAAGGAGTGTCTTCGTCACAGGAACACTCCTTTTTTGTCTGTAAGAAATTCTTTCTCTTCATAATTTATTTGTAAAATCTTAGCTAATTCTAAAATTTAACTCCGGAGTAAAAGGAATGTCACCGGAGTGTGCTCCGCCACTCCGGAGTATAACTCATAATCCCCCATCACTGTGTAACTAAGAATATACGGATCGGCTAATGAAGTAAGGCACTGAGTCAGTATAGCGGGACGACCAACCCTTAGATTCGACTGAATGGGTTCACGCCGGAGCTGTATTTAGATTGGCGTCATGGGATAGACCGACCTCAGGTTTCTAAGAATTGATCAAAGTGACTCATCGGTAACGTGATGTATCTATCTTCGATCGATTTCGAATCTGATTTTGCAATCTTGAGTTGGGACGAGTCAACCCCATTACCGGCCAGGGCCTTTGATAGTTGATAACTGGTAGAAGATTCACTCTCCGGGCTGGGAGATGTCTGTGGCTGAATCTCGTGCGGCGTCAGCTTTCCATGTTTCTTGCACAGAGTGTCCTCGTTCATGATCCACTCAAACCAACAAAGTAGCAGAGAGGGACTAGGAGAAAGAAGGCCAACACATAAGGAATCCAAAGGAAATGATTTCATAAGTCGAAGTATCATTCGTCACGGGATTTTAGCTGTCCTTACTGTCGCCATTATACCAGCCAGTGTGTGTACCAATAAGGTAAGTCTGTCGCACGGCTATCAAACGTTGCTGATGTTCCAGGGGATACCGTACTCACTATCTCTCACCATCTTGCTGGCTTTGTATAAAACGAACACCTTGTTTATGACGTTACCTCCAGCAATTCAGATGACCGTTGCGTTAATTCATGCCACACGGAACAAAACGCACGGTGGTCGAGAGGCCAACCAAGAGCATTCGAATCTTGGTTCTGAGGAAAAATCTCTGGATTCTTTCGACGGAATAAACGACCGTCGGATGAGCGGAATGAGCTTCATGTGCAGAGGCACATTTCTCACTTCGTCCATCCCTCCTCCAACTCAATGCACAAGTCATGTCTAATACCTTGCTCTCTCCGAAGTCATCTTTAGGCGCCTGCCGTGGAGGGTAATCCAGTAGCAATGCTGCCACTACACAGAGACACGATCCTATTTCTTATATCTCTTTTCTGGGCCTCTAATATATAATGGAGATTAGTATCAGATTATAGCTATAGACGCTTTCTATCTTTCTAACTTATTATTTTTTAGAAGAATTAATGAATAGAGCTATAAGCAGAGACTTAGAGAAGGTAGTATATAATATACCTAGCTAGACCCGTGATAGATTATGCACTATAAATTTCGAGACCTTTTTACGGACTGTTTTCGAGGCTATACATCTACCATTGGCGTTCTCGGATCCGGGTCCTACATGGCAAGGAGCTAGCTCCGCCTCGAAGGATAATTTCGTTACAGACCAGAAAGCACCTGTCTGTTGGCCCTGCATGATTCAGAGATATGAAGTAGGAGCAGTCCACTCTTCTAGAGCCATAGCTCAGCAGACCGTTTCAGTGCTACCCAGGCGAAATCGATCTCAAAATCCAAGTCATGATTGGAAACTAGGCTGCTGTCGTGATACACTTCCTGATCTTATGATTTTTCTCCCTACCACGTATGTTCCGAACATGAGTATACTGAACAGTGCTAACAGATTATAGCCTGGATTTCCGACCTCCACAGCAAAAAGACGTTAATCGAACTGTGCGAAACGAATGTCCATGATTGGGGAAAGTCTATGATCAAGATCCAATTGATGCCAGGATGGCGCTTGCCCTGGCTTGAAGTTGACGTTTATGAATTCAAGCCGAGTAATCCTGTATTGTTACGGCAATTCCAACACTTCAAGGACGCAAAAACGGGCCAAAACATTCGTGTAGAAAAGGCTTCGCCTCCACTTGGGCTACAGAGCATTGATTCTACTGAGGATGAGACCAAATATGACACTCACGTCAAACAGATCGCTACTCATTTCATGCCCACCTTTGTCGGACAGTACTATGTGGGTGAAAAGGAAGAATTCGCGAAACAGATGTTCGAGTGTCTAGTTAACATCTACCCTACTCAGGGAGCCGAATAGGTATGAGCGCACATGCCCGTGACGTGGTCGTTGGACACCTTGCTAATAACATGGAGGAGAAATTACTGACGGAAGTTTATTATCTCATAATCACCACCTATATTGTTGCACACATTTTGACCATACCTGACGAACACAAAGTTGACATCCTCTCAAAGCTATCAAACTATAGACCAGATGACTACGGCGACAAGACTTCGCCGCGTCTGGCGAACCGACAAATCAAACATTTCTACGCACGATTACAGAGAGAAATGGTGAAGATGCTACTAGGACGTCTGCAAAACATGCTGGAGGGTAGTAAAGGCTACGATAAATGGACCGATGCGTTCATTATCGTTCTTGGTTTAGCCATTGCTGTCGAAGGCATCCAGAAGAATGTTAACAGTATTCTGGATGGTAGAGTGGGTCAAGGAGATTTTGAGAGGAGCTTCGCGGAGGAAAGCGCAAATGAAGCTGTCCGAAGAATTGACGGATGCTTCGACATTATCATAGAGCTTTTCCAAAAGAAGTATGCTCGCAGCTGTAATCCGATCAAAGATTGTAAAAATGACTGGAGCGCGAAGATCACTCAACCGGGAATGATCACATGCCTCCAGAAACTAAGTTCGCTCATCCAAGACAAAAGTACAAATTTCATTCCCCCCTTGGTCACTGGATCTTTGCTAATTTCTCCAGGGAATTTTCTTGAAGAGCGGACACGCGTGGCCGTTTCCATGCACAACTGGCGACAATACACAAGCCGCATTACAGCAAGATTTTTGCTGTCTTTTCTATAATTCGAAGATTACATAATGAGCTCCACCGCTCATGATGAGGACTACAGGAGGCTTTATGTAATATCTGTTCGAGTCCAGGGCTTCTCCTTCTTCTCCTTCTTCTCCCAGGCAGACCGGATGCAGACTCACTCGAGAAGGGAGCCGACGGCGAAGAGAGCAAGGAGGACGCCGAGGCCGCGAAATTAGAGAGCACACAGAGACGAGAGCTTGACGGAAAGATTTGCCTTTGGCTTTTGGATTTTCTTGATCAAAAATAATATTAGACCTGTCCTCTTTGTCTATGTCTTCTTCAAATACAGTGATTGCTGGGTAGTGTGGCAGAGTACCGTGCCCTCGTGTCCAGCTTTCGAGTGAGGGACGACCAGGGGCGCTGATTTGGTTGCAGATGAATGCATTGCGGCAGAGAGCTAACAAATATTTCCCTCGTAAATCTGCTACGCATCTTTCGGGAGTCACGTGGTCATGATATGCACTACGATGTCGGTATCTCTAAGAGGTATAGCTGAAGCAAGAAAAGCACAGATTTGGTTCCGAGCATCGAGGCGCCGGCGAGAAACGGACAATGGTGACTGCGGTGGAGTGCATCAGCGTGGATGGGAGGGTGCTGTCATATTCGTGGTATCTTCGCCGATTTCTTTACTTTAAGGCAGTAGTGCTACAGTAATCGCGAGCCGAGTCATGTGCTCTGTCTTAGCTACCTTGACTTTCGACGACTCAATTACGGTAACGATAAACTACTCTTCTTAGGATAAATAACTCTAATTTTACTCTCCCTAAAGGCAAGACGATAATAGTAGAAGCAAACCTGTCCATTATAGCTCTCGTAAGAAGCATAACTAAAAGCAAATGGGACGACCCATTCCGTGAAGTGGTCTTGGTCTAGAAAGTAAGGCATGAGTGAGTAGTCTTTGAAGATCTCACCAAGCTCGAAGACATGTGGCTTAAAACCGGGCTTCAGAATAAAACTCCCTACTTCAAAGAGAGAGAGAACCCATTACTTGTTGAAGAGATGGAAGGCTCAGTATGCAAACTACATTTTCAAGATGGGGCGGGCTTTACAGGATGGACTGTGGATTTAATTACAGATATGTTCAAGATTGGGTATCGGGTTAAGGAAGAAGGCGAGCACATACACTTTGTTTACGCTGTTGAATGGCATGACCCTTCAAAGCTGGTGGAAATAGTACCTCGTCAACCGCCGTTGACGGAGGTGCACAACAAGACCACAGTTTGGTAGACCTCGGTACTTTTGTTTTCACTGAGCGCTTTGTCCCTGCTTGGATAATTGAGACCCACACACAGACTTTTGTTCTCAGTCAGTATTATGATTGAGGCACGTTCAAAGCGTTGTCTCTGACAGATTGCGCGATCTCTTAGATAGTCAGGCTCAGACTATGTATACAGATCTTTTCCTGTATTTTGAATGAATGAATCTAACTCTTGAGAGCGACGTAGAATTGATGACACCGTGTCAAAAAGGCGACCCCCTTGAATTGAGACAGTCAAGTCATCTTTCCATGTACACCTCTGAAGTCGCTTCATTCCCGTGGGGTAAAATTCCCGAGAAGGACAAAGATCTTACGGGGGCACAGGGCCTGTGGGCGCGGCGACAGCGCCCACATCTGCAGCCTCGGGCCCAGGGGCCGTCGGGGCGGCAGCAGGCGACGATCCTACCGGACGAGCCCTCATGGCCATGGTGGCGTCCATGGCACCACCACCCTGGTGCAGCTCAGGGGGTTTTTGAAACCTCAGGTCGATTTTTGACCTCCAGAATAACCTTATTTTTAAGCGCTTAGACGGCGTCCGTCTATACTAAATCCATGGTTTCTCTTAGGCTTCTCTTAATTTACCGAAGTATAGGCGAAATCGAATAGATTCGAGTTTTTCGACGTGCGAAAAATACTTGCTGCTCAAAAACGTCGATTTTTGACCTCTAACTATACCTAATATAGGTAAGTTTAGCCATCCCGAAGCCACATTCCTTTAGTTCCACGCCGTCTTCCTTTAGTACCACGCCGTCTTTAAACCCTGGTCATCAGCTCGGGTTTTAAGCTGGAGGTGAGATACGGTTTCAAATACTCGGCGGAAAAACGGGAATTGGAGGTCAGAAACGTCAAAAATCGAAGGTCAACTGAGGTTTCAAAAACCCCCTCAGGGTTGCTCTGCAGGTGGTTCTTGATAGCGCGATCGTACAGACGCGTGAGGCGGGCGACCTCGCTGCGCACGCTGACCTCGTCGACGTCGATCTCGTCGTAGCCATGTACACCCTTCTGTATGCCCAGCCACATGATTTCGCTGTTTTCTATCTCATCTACGACGCGCTCGAGGTCGTCGCGGAACATGCGAGCGCGCATTGACTGGCCGCGAGAGCGCAGATAGGTGACCAGGCCTGCGATGACGGTGCTCAGGGCGCCGAGGAAGGCAACGGTGACGTGGCTGATGTTGGCGGCACCGAGGGCGGTGAGGGCTGCGCCGATGACGATCTTCTTATTGGAAGTTTTCTTAATAATATCTAAATATACTTTTAGATACAGTTAGAAAGCTTTCTGGAGTCTTAATTCTAGAGTTATCAAAGAGAATATAATTTCTTATGGAAGGGGGTTTTCATTTATTCCTAACATGCCTGAGGGGCGAAGCTACCAACGACTAAGCCGCTACGGAATTGACGCTGCCAAGAACTTGCTGAGCCTCCTACCAGAGTACGTGGATATGCAGAGAGCTTCCTGCGCGCCCTCATCACTGCAAGGTATAATGCAGTTTATCAGCGAAATGCCACGCAACGTTAGGCACGTGGAGCCTGCGCCCTCTCAATCTGGGAACTTCGGTAGAGTAAAGCGTGACAAAGTTGATTGACAGTCCTGTCTAGTCTAGCTAAGTAAGACCTGAGCAATGTACATGTAGTCTGATCAGCTTAATTTAGTCCGTGTTCCCATTCATTGCTCTCACTCCGAGGCAAGTCTCTAGGCTGGCTGCGATGAAATGTAAGTTATAGAGATGTAACAGGAGTCCTACATATAACAGGCATGGTGACTAGAAAGAGAAACGTTTGATCATATGCCCGCCAGGTACAAAGATAAATACGAATGTGAGCTTGTGATGACGCAGTCATAACGGCGAGAAGATAGTAGCCCGTATTGAACTGGTACTTAGCTGTTGCCATCTTCTTTCGAGTACTCGTCCTTTCCACCCAATGCTTGAACACACTTGTGATAACCTTGACTGTCTATAAACGCCAAAAGATCTGGGTTGTCCACTTCTGAAAAATTTGCCAACCCTGACGTCATCGTCATCGGAGCTTCGTCAAACCACTTGGAGAGGAGCAGAGGACGGAAGCTCACAGATCGATGACCCATTGATGCCAAGCTCTGTCCTCGACACTTCTGATGTCGCTCGCTTCTCTCCACTCTCACCTGCGCCACCCTTGTCAAACAAAGTTCCATATCCATACCCAAACTCGACGCAGAGTGTTCTTTGGGGCACTGGAACAGGGTCTTTTGTCGGGGGCACGGCTTTCCCAACAGTAATGCTAGGCGATCCTGTCCACGTAACAAGTACCGGGCATGACTTGTCAACATCACTGTCCCTACTGCTGTGTGGAGTTTCACTCTGTCTGAGCATTGATTTCTTTCGAAGGTAATATAAGATCTGCGTTAGCTATGTCATATATCGATAAATTTACAATTTGATCATGAGATAATTGGCATATGAAACAAATAATATTGAAGTTGCTCATATCGAGCTGAAACACGTATAAGCTCCTAGTCGGACGTCCTATATCATGACTTGACGTTCACTTAGTTAACGTTGCCGATGAAGCGGTTTCTGGATGGGCACGAGACCTAGCTGAATTCGGAAACCTACGTCGAATTCGGATACATAAGGCGTCAAAGCACAATGCAACAGGCTATCTTAGGCTGAACTATATTATGCAGCTATACAGCTCTCAGATAATTACGATAGGGACCTGTCTGTAGATAACTATGAATGCCATCACCGACAGTCTCAGATAAGCCCGAGGTTAAACCGATGCTGTCTCGCTTCTTGGTCGCAGAGCTATTAGTCTCCGTTCCGAACCGTCGTCCTCTTGCTGCTTGCAACTGCTCGCGATCGAGTCGACAGAGTTTTTGAGTTCAAAGGACCAGTCCTGGAACTGCTCGAGATACGTTTTTACGCTATCGAGATCCCTTCGTGTACCATCAGCCCATGAGACCTCATGCGGGGACAGGTAGAGCACAGTCAACTTACCACCGGAGCGCCGTGTTCTGCTCCGTGAGCCGGTCAATCTGCTTTGATGCAGAATTCATCTGCTTTTCGAGTTGTGCGTTGCTTTGCTGTAGCAACTCTCTGCTTCCCTCTAGTGCAATTACTTTCTCCTCCAGGCAGTCAATCCTGCCTTGATAGGAACCTGACTTCTTTTCCAAGTCAAATGCTCGAGCATCCAGCCGAGTAGAACAGAGCTGGAGCTGATCTGTCCAATACTCTTCCTGGGTCATACGAAGCTCGAGCAATGCTACCTGCTCAGGGAGTCCATGATATGGGTCTGTCTGGACGACCCGAGGCTCACATTCTCTCCAAGAGATATCTTCTGACGTGGTGTTCCATGTTGCGGTCGTCTCCTGCAGCGACTCCCAGTTTTCTTGTTGGAACTCGATTGGCCACGGAGATTGACATTGTGCCCTCAGAAGATTCAAGTCCGGCTCAAAGGAGTATTCATTGACGTCAGCGAACAAGTCGGAGGAATCAGCTGTCATGTGTCCAGACCCTAGGTTGTTTCGATATAAGATCGCCGGTGGAGAGCTCGAAGGAAAGGTCCAATTCTCCCAAGTGGCATTAAGGTTGTCAGGGCCACCAGCACAGAGCGCAACTTCGCTGTCTGGAGGCGTGATGCTGTAGATACTCATATTTGGACGGCAAGACTGGTCATCCATCGTTGTACGAAGTATCTCCCAAGCAGCCCTCTAGCTTGACCAAACAGGTTTTATACTATACATTGCTTAGAATCATCCCTGTGTATCATCAAACATGTTTCATGGGCTATGCTAACGATGTGCTACCAAAAAAAGATTACGATTTCAAAGGCGTCCGGGTGCAATACAGTATGATGCTATATTTAGCAAACTTGGCCCAGTTTCGGGGATCCAGGCGTATACTAGGATCAAGCAGACGGCTGAGGACTTCCTTTGCACGACCGGTAACGGAATCTCGGGTGTCGGACGATCTGTCTATCTCGCACACGCACAAAAGTCTGTTCAATGCTGTATCGAGAGTACTAACTAGAAATGAAATGTAAAGAGATCAGCTGTAATGACGGCCCGCTTCGGATCTCGGACCGGATCTTGTCACTTTCACTCCGTGCCTCTTCTATTTATAGCTGCTTTTCTACTATACTTAAGGGGCTTTCACTGTCGGTATGCCTAGAAGTGTATCCCTACCTATCCAGTATGGGGCTAATCCGTTCGGAAAAGGGAGTCGACTTTCCGCCAATCTCGCACCCTCAACCTGTTAAGTCTGGTTGTCTGAGAGTCTCGAGTTCAGAGAAGAGTTGCAATGGGAGCGAGAGCGCTTCTGGTATACTGGCCGACTTCGATATACTCGTTGCGCCCGAGGATATCTTAAGTCAGTCCAAAGACCTGGGACAAATTGATCATATGCCCGCCAGGTACAGTGAGAAGGACGAATGGGGGCTGGGCTTCGCCGCAGGTGACTCCAGTTCTTGCGAGAAGATAGTAGCCCATATTGAACTGGTACTTGACTGTTACCATCTTCTTTCGAGTGCTCGTCCTTTCCAACTAATGCTTCAACACACTTGTGATAACCTTGACTTTTCGAACATCATTAATGAACGCCTGCCATTGCAGCCAAGCCGTGTTGAATCTGTGCGCGTCTTGCGATGCACTTGATTTCTGCAAGCTGTCTGTAAACGCCAAAAGATCTGGGCTGTCCATACTCTGGACTTCCTCGTTATCAAGTATGAGTACCGAGTCGCAGATTTGGTAAGGCTTGTCGACAGTCCAAAGGCCAGTCTACTTTGGGGCAGGACTTCAATATGAAGCCTCGGCAAGTCCACTTCTGAAATTCTTCGCTGGAAAGGGCAGGTGGAAGCCGATGTGGTTTCATGATCAGCTGGCGACTAGTCACCAGGACAGAATCTCTCACGGCTCAGTTTCAATCGTAACGATATTAGCGTTGAATATTGTAGTGGCTCAGTAAAGTGTGACGGCTCAGTAAAGTGTGACGGCTCAGTAAAGTGTGACGGCTCAGTAAAGTCTGCGGCTCAGTAAAGCCTTAGTGACTGAGCATACATTACCGTAAGTCACTTCGTATGAGCTCTTTACCTGGGGTATACTTCGCAACTTGATACTTTATGTGAAATAGCCCTACCTGACTCGTAGCCATGGGCCAAAAATTGGTCAATGAAAAGTTCCGCAAGGCTATGGCGCAGATATCTTCATCGTCATAAGGCGCGGTCAAAAGATTTATATATGTGACTCCGAGGACGGTGTCTCTTGGCTGACAGATCTGAAGATGCTAGTAAGATGAAGGCGCTGACCATCTGGGAGAATGTACTAACAAGGCCAACAGGACCAGAACTACCCCATTCCGATTCGCGTAACGCCAAAACCATTCGAGACTTGCCCCCGTTCCAAGAAGTTGAAATTGGTTCAGAGAAGAGATAGGGTAGCCGATGATGTGATTGCGACAGAGGGATGATAGGCTATGTACAATACAGATCATTCCACAACAGTACGCGAGTAGTCCGCGTGACGTACATGACATACCATTCGAGGTCAGCATCACCATGAATTTGGGAAACAAATGTATGAGCAGCAAGATCTCCGAGAGATGTCGCACAGTCCGTCATAGATATAAAGCCCAAAGGCATCCGGATATTCCGCCAATACAAAACCTCCACTACCTATTCCTTAGAACCCCTTATATCATCATCGACCGAAGAAAAGACAGAGAACGAATGTTGACGAGGGCAAGCCCACAGCCGTCCTGATCTACGCACGGCCTGCACAAAGCCATGTTCGGCCACCAAAGGCTGCAGGGACCATAACAGATGCAATCATTGCATTGAGTGCAGTTCTGCATGAAGATAAACCGATTAGGGGTGTCATTAACCCTCGCAAGGAAGCTGCCTATGCGTATGCGTACGACGTCCTTGGACTCGGATGATTATGACGATCCTTCCCCCGATCTGAACATTGCTAGGCTACGAGGCAAATACGTGAATGACTTTTGCGCTTTGCTGCCCCGGCAAACGCGGAAGTGTGGTGAGCATTCCTCTCAAACTGGTCCTTGGTTATCCTATGGAGGTAGCAGTGGGTTTGGGGTCACAAGTGGGGAAAATTCCTCAGCCCCAACGAAGAATCGCTGTACTTGTCATTACCGTGAAAATTACCGGTATGAGTGCGCCAATGCTTAAATCCTTCAAACTACCGTACCTCAAGTCAATCCATGACGGGAGCAAATCCGAAATGCTAACAAGCTTCGATAAAAAGCCGAGTATCACCGCGAAGATCATAAGGCAAAGCAAACTGAAAAGGAGCGCCATCCCCCCTCTGACCTTCTTCGAGTCTAGACCTGGGACATAGATCAAAGTGCCTTGGAATATGAAAACAATACAAGCCAGCCAGAGACTGAATGAGCACATGATCCCGGCAATGAGTATGTACAAGAAGATCGGGACTGTAAACCGATTTAGCTTCTCGGCTAGTGATGAAAAGCCTGGCATAACAGACTCGAGGACATGGAGTGTGTTCGCGGGTAGTAGAGAGGACAAGTCCAGGGGAAGATCTCGACAAGTCGTATTATTGTCTAAGTTGACACAGTAGCTCTGAATGCCAATGGTGATATTCCGTGGTAAAGCGATGTTGGTCGGGTTTTTTGCTTTGTCAATGATATTACCGGCCGTGTTTTGAACCTCATCAATCACGTTGCCTGTGGCCGTTTGTGCGCTGCCAACGGATTGTATATGATCACGTCTGGTGGTTCCATTGGAAACCTCACTTCATCACATTTCATGCTAATAAGATCTAGGATAACGCTTAATCTCATCCCAGGCCACAGACCGGGGATTGTTAAAAGTCTATCGAAGACGGTGGCAAGCTCTACATTCCTTTATCTAGTATATTGCTCGAGCCCTCTTCTTCTGAAATCGGCTAAGCGAGCTTTCCAGTGGATTTTAAGAGACGCATCACCCTGACGCTCATACTCTCGCCGATCTTACTGTGTATATCGCCATCGCATGGTCTTTCCTCAGTAGGGGACTCCTCAGCAAGTGCCATTCGAAGTTGCTGAGTGACATCTCAGAAAGGATCAGCCCTTTAGTTCCATGTTATACGTACAAACGACTGTTAACTACATATTTCATCGTCAACGCGCAGACCACTTCGCGCCACACCACTACGCATCTCACATATCTGGTCTGATCATCACAATCCCTTTCAGCAACTTTTCCTGAATCACGGGGTTGCATATCTTGATCGCACCCCTCTCTACTCCACTGGGCTGCCTGTTAGCCTGCAAGTCCCAGCTTCGCGAATGATTCTGCCAAGATATCTTCATTCTTCCTCGAGTCAGGACTTTGCCAGGTATCGAAGATGGCAGAGTCTTCAAAATAGGCCAGCACAGGGTTCGACGTCATCAAATCTATTTTTGAAACGCGCAAAAGTCCTTTGGCAGTTATAAACTTACCACTAACCGCAAGCCTTTCGATCCAATAGCTCGACAAGCGCCCATCACGACTGTACAGTTCAGATTCTTGTGTGATCAACTTCCAGTCTTGAATCAACCGACGAACCTCCTCGATTGATACTTGAAACCATTCGATATGATCTTTTCCGCACGATTTGCATCCTAGGAGACAACGTCTTTGAGAAGCCAGCTCGAGATGGATCAACTTCTCCATACGCTCTGGGAATGCGAAAGCTTCTTCATACAGTAGGCTAGCCTGAGGATGGCATTTATTCCACTTTGCCATTCTTTTCTTTATAGATTCTTTGACATATCCGATCTTCACATATCCCGGAGCAGATGGGCAAGCAAACACATAGACCGTTCCTGACTTAGCCTGATTTGGATTTATCTGCTTCCGAAGAACTTCTTTGACCGTATTTGATAGATCTGACGAACATGGACCGAACCGTGGTATAAATAGTTGAGGATCGGTTACGATAGATTCTTTGATGAGCGACTTTGGGCCTGAAAGTTCTGGTAGGAGTGACGCATCGTATTTCTGTACGAGTCTGCCCAAACATTCGCTCTCTTCTTCAAGTTTCTGGCGATGGGTGTTTTTACAAACATGAAGCAGAATGATATCTTTCAGAACGGATTTTCTCTTATCCTGACCCATAGTCTCGATCACTTTGCCTAGCTTCTGGCTTTCTTCAAGATCATTCGTGCTGATATTGCCGCCACAACGCTTCGGCCCTTTGACTGGAGCAATGCATCGCGGATCAGTTAAAACTGGGGGAATTTGGTGATCATATGAATAATTATTGGGAAATGTCATCGCCCTTTTTTGTTCTGTTATATTGTAGACTCGCAAAGTACCTTCTCACTTTTGTCGAATAGCGAATTTCTTTCCAGTAAATCACAGTGGTGGGATGTAGAAAGGTGGCCAAGACGTCACAGGAGGAGACTGCCAAAGGGTTATGAGGACTGGCTGGAAAACAGATATTGACTTTCAGTAGAATAAAGGGCCTATTTACGCGATCAATTAGGAAGCGCCTCCTTCCATCCAGCTGATGCAGAGTTAAGACCATTCATGTACGTGATATCGAGGCAGCGGGGGAGCGGGGGAGCGGGAGGTCCATTATTTGCACGCGCTAGAGCCTGCAGTCAGAAGATACAGCGCATCGGCACGGCCAGTCGTTCCCTTACAAAGAAAGACATGAGACAATCGTCCCGCAAAGGCTCTCTTTCCTCTACCTTATCAGAAGAATTCTATATTTTATAAGCATAATTTGTCTGCGAGTGCGGTCCATCGCCTCCGCTTATATTCTTGAGATGCTTACGTGTCCCATTAAACATGGTAAGGTACCTACGCAAGGCTACTTCACCATTGCCTTACTCCACCTCAGCTGGTCCCTTACATTGCCAGCCCACCTCTTTAAATCTACCACAGCTTAGCTTACTACAACCTGCACGGAACTGGTAACCACCAATCAGCAGCTGCGATGTTTACTCAGTGCAGTCTGTTGAGATGTGTCGCTAGCAACCATATTTCCCGTCTTTCCTCTTGGCAGTGCACGTCTTAACACCTCTTTCAGCTCAGCCTGATGAATAATTACAGGCCATCCTCTGACGAATATGATCGACAACTCTTTGCCAGCAAATACGACGTCCTCCTCACTTTCTTATCGATGCTTCGCCCATGACGGCTTTCCAAATAATGCGACCACTGAGAAAATGCAAGATGAGAGCTTCCACCTCCAACCTTCGCTGGCGGCAATGTTCATCTGCACTCCATTCTTCCATGTATCCGAGGTTGTGAGCATCGTATTGCCATTACGTACAAAATTTGGTTCAAGAGATGGTAAGGATCAGGGGCGGATGCGAGATGCTGTGATTCTGTGGCGAATAGGCTCGGGAACATAGCTTGGGCTGAATGTGGATGCATACCTGTCACATGGGCACATCAAGCAGTAGCAGGTTTACTGTTCTTCGTGTGAAGGCAAAGGCGCCTATCATCGAAAGTGGGGGCACAAACCGTGTGGGATGTGGATGAGCAAGTGGAGGAACTCCTCGTCATTGAAGGCCAACATCAAGTATCACTGGTCCTCTCGGCCTCGTCGAGCTCAAGAACGGCTGTGATCCATCTCCCACACCGCTATAGTCTCTGGAGCCATTGATATGGTACAGGATATGAACTAGATCAAGCTTAAATCTTTATCAAACCCAATCCACTATCATGCGCTCGCCCTGCAATTTGACGAACAACAATATACGATTTCAAGATCGACGGAAATGGCGCGGATGTTCGCTTGTAAGGTGATCTATTGTTCTCTTCGCCCAGACAATTGAATTGACGTACTGTCAGATGCCACGTCATCTCTTTGATGCATGATTAGGTAGCATCATTTCCCGTCAAGGTGGGCATTTCCCCACGGCGCTTGAGATTTGGAAGTGAGGCAACTGCATAACCGCATATACAGGTGTCTTCGTCATTTGTGGTACTCTACATGCAGCCTGCTCGCAACTTAGCCTGTCAAAATTACATTAACGCTCTGTTGACCCCGCCCAATACGCGTCCCAATCTGCGGATCTAAGCAGGAACTTGAGGAGGAGAAGTTGGCTCTCCTGGAAGTCCCTGTGTACCCTGGGGTCCCTGTTCATCTTGTGCACCAGGTATGCCATCCCTTCCATCTCTACCATCTCTACCGTCTTTGCCATCTCTGCCATCTCTACCCCTTTGACCCTCTAGACCGGGCGACCCGGACCTACCTGCTAAGCCGTCACGTCCTGGCGATCCCGTTTCACCACGCTCGCCAGCTGGTCCTTGACGCCCAGATATCCCTTGAGCTCCGGGTACCCCCTGAGGTCCAAGCATTCCTTGAGGTCCAGGCATTCCATTAGGTCCGGGTACTCCCTGAGGTCCAGGTATCCCTTGTGGACCACATGTGCCAGGTCTAGCCTGAGGTCCTGGAGGACCAGGGGCCCCATCAGCGCCAGCTGCGCCGCGAATTATACGGAGTCTCCTCATCGGAATGATTGAGATGCTTTCAACATCCGAGTGGTACACATTTTTAGATTTTTGAGATACGCAGCATAACACCAAAATCAGTATGCCGAAGACAAGACTGAAAGTAATTATGACGCCTATCTTTGCTGAGTCGGAGGTATTGTCGCGTGATTGAAGCATAATAGAGTTAAAAAATGGAGAGCGTCGATGGACAAGGCTTCGAGATATCCCTGTGAGCGAAAGAGATCACACTTCTTGAGATCCAACTGACCAAAACCACTCCACATTAATAGGAATGCTCTTGAGTAGCAAAAGTTCGAAGAATGTATCAAAGTGCCGATAATTGATTGATTAGAGCTATTTGTCGTAGCCAATGATCTATGCTAGACAACCTCCAAGAACAAAAATTGTAGTTTGGGATATGGCTTGGACAATGTTCATACTAAAGTCAGCAGGCAACATATATAGTTCATGGAATTCGTAATAGGAACCAACAATAGCGGTGAGGGTCCTTGTCAGTAACTGCCTGATTTTTGACTGGATACAGATACGAGGATAGAATACTGCAGACAAGTACCGCGAATCTGCGGGGTTTTCTCATTCGAGAGCATCCGCATGTATTAGCTGCAAGCCGCTTCTGATGGGCCTATGAGTAGCTTGCTCCGCACACGCCAAGATCTAGCTATCAAAACACGTCATTTCTATTCCATGTGACTTTCAATAATGTCTGGGGGAATCAGGGCCCAACGATGCAAAGTTACGATCGTGACTACAGGAGGCGGCGTAAAATCTGCTGTTAGGGTAACCACCAAGTTTACGATTCCACCATCTGGCGGGGACTCTTTCGACGGGGAAGGCGATCGTCAGTCGTTTGCAGCCTGTTAGATCGATGGTTTGAATTCCCGTGCTTAGGGCCGAGATATGGTCCGGTAGACTTGCATTCTCTTCTCCAAAACTCCACGCCATCGCGCCACCTAAGCATTTGTCTTTTACTATGAGATCTATCTTTAGCTGCACATACTTTATTGGGTCCCACGTCCAGAATAGAGCATCAGTCGGATCAAAGTAGGTGTATCCACCAGCATGACTGTCGTCTATAGGATCCGCGAGCGCGGCTTTCCAGGATTTCCAGAGGTCAGGACCTTGGCAGCTGTCGGAGCCGCTATATGGAGGATTGCATCTACCATAGCCACAGTGCTCGGGAGTGTCGCCACTAGAACTTGAGTTAGTTCTCTAGAGCATTAAAAACGGCGTCGTACACACCACCAGCCCTCGCTGGAGCAGCAGAAGCCCGGACTACATTTGGCTCCAGTACCAGGGCCGCAGCGACCACCATCCGGCACAGAGAAGCTCTGAGGGACGTCTAACGTGTTCTTCATTCCGAAAGTCATGGAGCCGGATTGAAAGGTATCTGCTCCTTGGTTGTCTTCCAGGGCAAACGTATCGCAGCCAAGCCCACCCACAGACATGACCATCTACAATCGGATACAATCTGAGGTCCTAGATTAGGATTGTATGATTAGTCACCCTAAAAGTACGGATTGAGCTTGGAATCTACGCCAAGGGATTGAGATTGCTTGTGTTAAATTAAGTTAAGTGTATAATAATTACCCGAATAGGAAGGAGATAGGGAGACCGAGAGATGAATATGTCTATTAGAATGGTATATATAGTCGCTCATATACGACTTTGAGTCAAAATCCGAGGAAATAGCCCAAATCCGTGACTTTTACATTATTGGCCTTATGACTCAGGTAGACTATAAATTAATAAGTCCTTTACCTACCCACGACTTTAAGCAGAGTGCTAGCCGAACTATTATAGGATGAAGCTTTGCTCGGCGAGTAGTAATTATATCTCTAGCCTTACTAAAAGCACGCTCACACTCGTAACTTAAGGCTGGGATACTCAAGACGTCTATCGCTAGTTAACTAAGTTAAGGATAGTCATCCTAACGAGCTATCCAGAAGGCTATTGGCGCGTTAGCCTATTTGCTATCGTGGCCGACGGGAGGTTCACGTCGCTAGCGGATAAGCTCATCCTTAATGACTTTATATTGTACTTCTTCTGGTAGTTCAGAGTGCTAAGAAATGAAACTATCGATATCCGTGGTAGTAGAGTCGGGATATACCACTCTTGATATTGTATTCGTCGTCGTCGAAGTCTGTATAGACATCTCTTCGCCTATCTGTTTCTTGTGCTACTACTAGTATTGCCTGAAGATAGACTCGGAGTCCTCGTAGTCGTCCCACGCGCTTCGACAGAACGTTTTAAGGTTTGGATGAAGGTTTATAGCGGCGTAGTACGCAGGAGACTCGTTGAGTGCGATGAAGTATTTGTTCATCTTTGACCAACCATTATTGATAGTAATAATCATGTGATCACCGTCAGCGAGCGTCTCCGCTGTTATCTCGTCTTCATTTACCGAATTAGGTACCATATGCCGTATTTTGAGCCTCTCAAAGTGCTCCATCAGATAGGTAATAATAGGGATAACTTGCTAGATAGCCCCGAACTTACTATTAGGCTTACGACCCTCTAGGCGACGAGTAGTAACTCGGAGTGGTAGAAGTAACTCGAGATATTATCCTATGACGTCCTTGTCGTAGTTAGTAAGGTTACTAGTCTGGATAAATAGAGGCTCCTGATTCCGAGTATTGACTCTCTTCGTATGAGTCTTGACTAGTGGAGTTATAGACTCAATTGTCATCACCTCATCTTCATCAGCAGCCTAAGTCTCGAGCGCGCGTCTTGAACGCTTCCTTGAACCACCAGGTTGGTAGCTTGATTGAGTGTACTTGTTTCTCTCACGGGCTATCCTAACGCGCGTAGCTTCCTTACGCTTCATCTCCACCTCTTTTGCTCTCTCACGTTGTACAACCTGGGTAATATAGTACTGGGAGAATTGGTGGAGGGCTTCTCTAAGCTCAATTGCTCTCTTAATCGCGGAGATATGGCTATTCCATCGTGTCTTCACAGGTGTAATAATATTAAGTGACATATTAAGCATTGGCTGCACCTTTTTCAGCTGACTGGTCGCTGCGTGTCGGAATCGAAGGATGAGAGCCATTCCACACTGGAGAAGCAGTAAGAGAAATAGAGAAGAATATACCATACAATCGAACACAGAACATAGAAAGAGCGGGCCGAACAGTATTGAGACATCTTGCGGCATGTTAGAACATCCCATACGGAGTGGTTGGTGTTGCTTCTATCAATTTTATAAGGAAGAGTAACGTTGGGCTGTACATATCTATACTATTTTTAGAGCGAGGGCTACCTCATGCGCAGGATAAAGAGCGGCGGGGCGGGGGGCGAAGCAGTACCTTACAGGCCGATATTAGGACCGCAGTCGATATATTTAGACGTCCCCTTGGACTAAAAAGCGAACGCTGCCCACTTCGAGCCGGGTAACAGATGCAAACATGGCCCTGAAAGACGTGAAGAACCCCAAAAAGCAGCTAAGAAGAAGACTTCATGGCCTGGAAAGCAAAGTCCACGCGTATGCCAAACTTGGTAGCGACGTAGCGCTGTTCGTGATGAGCCCAACCACTAAAGAGCTCTATAGCTACCGCTCGCGGAGAGACTTTCCTCCGGCAGACTTAGAGACCTTGGTAAGTCGTGTTTGAGCGTTCTTAATCTAATAGAGTCGACTAATGCAACATATCTAGCTTCTGCGCCCAACTGCAAGAAATGTCCTCCTGGAAGACCTGGAGACAGCCAGCGCCGGCACCAAGCTCGCGAGAGCCAGCTTTGCAACCCCACCTCGACTTAGCAACGAGAAGGTTATGATTAGGAGGAAGAGTCGGGCTATAGCAAAAATGGCCAAGTCGTTTTTGCCGGAGCCGCCACGCCTTAGGTCAAAACCTACTTCTCGACCTACGTCGCTCACACTTGGTGGATTTTTGTAGAGCTATCCTCGTTGTGGCAAATGTACGTCTAGGGTGTGCTATTCATTCAATGTGCCAAGACTGGTTCATTACGTGGATCGTATGTCACGCAAAAGCTCTTGCAGAATCACCCGCGAGGCCAAGTGGCCCAGCGAAAACGCCAGGTCAATAGGCTCGCTCTCTTCCATCAAGAGACAGACCTCTGAAGAACACAGTCATTATGACGTGTGTCTAAGTATGGAGGCTCCTGAGCATACGATGAGGAATAGTATCATGTATCGACAAGTCACACGTGTATAACTCGGCCTCTAATGTCAAGCTTCAAAAGAATGTGTGTTAGCTCGAACAGGATACCTGTGTGAGCAAAATGTACTCTGTCTACACCATACTGATGCTCCCCGTTCTTATCGCAGCGTGAAAGAGTGCAAGGCGGTCAGAGTGACCTCACTTTTGAAGCTCTCCTCATATTTGATAGTGTCTGCCCATACCGTGTTCTTCATCTTGATCTGCCACAGCCTTGCGATTGATCCGGGTGTCTACCTTGAGAGCTCTGTTGTATTGGCGGGCGATGCTCGCAGTCTCAAATGTTGGTGGCTCTAGGAGCGATTCGCAGCTGTCGTGGTCGGCAGGCCTGTGACGACCAAATATGTGGGACCGAAGACTCTCGAAACAACTTCTCCACTTACTCCCACGACGAGAAGGAGTTGTTGGGGAGATCCAGACGACAGGACACATGCTTGCGGACTGGTATCGAGAAGAGTGTGGTTATATGTTCAACCTACTTCAAAGCTCAGCACGACGATTGCTTAGATACAATCGCGCAATCTAAAAGTAGTATCATTCCAACCGAAAGTGAGGATTCGACATAGACCGACCAGGCTGGATAGAGACTGCTTCGTTGGCTATTTTTAGTAAACTAAGACTACGCCTCGGTAAGATCATGGCTCAGTAAGGGCATGGCTCAGTAAGGGCATGGCTCAGTAAGGGCATGGCTCAGCATATGAGTTTCGATACTTTTAAGGTAAATTTTCTATGCTACAAGTTTAATTCCGTAAGGGATTATCTTTTAGTCAATCTTTTAGTAATATTTGGCAGTCTAATAAAAAGTTGAGTCCATTGGCATGGAAAGAATGCTCACTTCCCATGATCATGCCTGCTAACAACGATCTGACACCACATGTATTCTTTTCTCGCCTTGGTTAGTCTTCTGTCTGGTTAAGCTGCTTCTCCATTTTAGCACTTACTAAAGGCAGGCAGTAACATGGATTTTTATTTATATCCAGCTAAATCTAATGGATTCACGCCGAGGAATTCGAGTCCGTTCTCCGCAGTAGCTGTGAGCGTTCTGCAATCGTTCCATGCTAGCTACTGCAATGTCTGATGCTCGCTGGATCGAGTCGCAATACGTACGATACATGCGGATCTGCTGCGCCAAGTTCATGTTTTCCTCTACCAGCCTCTCTAGGGTCGTCGTATGCAGCTGTTCTCGACAGGAGTCTATCTCGGAGATGATGCGCTCGATGTCTGTTGCTTTCCGCAGCATCTTTCAGGGCGATACTGTTGTTCGCAGGATCGTTCGTGTCTCATAATGATAGCAGACATAAATACACTGCACTGGTTGTGGTCCGGCCCATGTTTCTTCCTGGTACTAAAAATAGCCGTAATGTGGAAGGGCGCTCAAGACGCTGCACAGTGCACATGTTGCGCCCCTGTCTATCTCCTAAGGGATGATGAGGTGTCATACATTCCGAACACCTGCACCGCGCAGTCTTAATGCACGCCCCAACCTCGTTCCCCTCTTAGGGCGGCTGAAGAAACAAGTGGACGTATTCATCGACAGAATGAACCCTCTGGCCAGTACAAAATCTCCACTCCCTGTTCCCGAGAACCCCTTAGACCATCGTCGACCGAAGAAAAGACAGAGAACGGATGTTGACGAGGGCAAGCCCACAGTCCCGATCTACGCACGGCCTGCACGAAGCCATGTTCAGCCTCTAAAGGCAAAAAGGACCATACCAAATGCAATCATCATGCTCGTCCTTGCATTGGGTGCAGTTTCGCATGGAGATAATCCGATTAGGGGTGCCCTTAACCCTCGCAAGGAAGTTCGTCAACCTTAGTTGACGGCATTGCGGAGATCTCGCCTTGAAAGTCTGGCCTCCTACTGATCGCGTTAGGTACTACTGCCTTGGATACACGGCCTCCTTGTCCTTGGCGGTCTTAAGGAACTGTAGGCTGTGGTGATCGGTGAGGATCGTGGTCTTCTTCGTTCCTAGCAAGTATCCCCAAGTTCGTAGGGCGTGTTTGAAGGCAAGAAGTTCTTTTTCGTGTACTGGGTAATTGAGCTCGGCGCCATTGAGATTTCTCCCGTCAAACGCGATTGGCTGTCGGCATCTTCTTGGCAGATCACCATGCCGATCGCGTAGTTGCTTGCGTCCGTTTCAATGCAGAAGGGTTTCGTTTCTTCTGGCTGAGCAAGGACTGGCTCAGAACATAGGGCATTCTTAAGGGTTTTGAAGGCAAACGCTGTTGACAGCGTCCATCTGATGGGCCTGTACTTCTGCTTTCGGATGAGCGGGTCTGCTTCTTTGAGAAGGTCTGTCAAAGGTGCTGCGATGCTTGTAAATCCCCTAATGTACCTTCGGTAGTAGTTTGCTAGGCCAAGGAACTGTCGAACTTCGCTAACGTTCGTGGGTTCCGGCCATTCGCGGATAGCCTGAAACTTATCTTTCATAGGACGAAGTTGTCCTTGCGAGACGTGGTGTCCGCAGAAGTCAACTTCAGCCTGGCCGAAGCTAAATTTCTCCGGATTGGCAAGCAAACGATATTCGCGGAGTAAGACAAGTACTTTTGACAGCACTCTCACATGTTCTTCCATGGTTTCGGAAAAGATAATGATATCGTCCAAGTACACAACCACGGATTTGTGTAATAGAGGTTGAAGGACTCTGTTCATCATCTTTTGGAATGTGGCAGGTGCGCTTGACAGACCGAACGGCATTACCTTAAACTCGTATTTGCCGTAGACCGTGTTGAAAGCGGTTTTCGGGACGTCTTCATTGTTAATACGTACTTGCCAGAATCCTGTGGTTAAGTCCATCTTGGTAAACACTGTTGACTGGCCGAAGGCACGTAGGGAAGACTCGAGTCGGTTGGTACATATGTTAATAAGTGCCATCGTACGAGCGTCTCCAGTGAGGTCTCTCGTGGCCGGATCAGCACTGAGAAGTGCGGTAAGCACGTCAACATTCATTGACGGAGCGTTACGGGCGCGTCCCGTACTTTGGGGAGCGGTTGCTCCGTCCATAGGGACGTCGCCGTCGCGATCGGGGTTCTGGGGAAGAGACATCTCGGTATAACTTGTTAGGGAAAGGGGAGTTCTGAGGTGGTGATTATCTTCCGAGTTGGAGTTAGGTCGTCAACTTATATTGACAAGTGGCTGGGAGGTCCATTGCGGGTACGGGGAGCGTCAATGAAGAATTTTCGTTTCCTTGGTCTTTGCTTGTCTTGTGATATGCCACTATCCGTTGAGACTATTGGGACGGGTAGTCGTCAAAGTTTGTTGCCGTAATTTCTTTTTCCGGGACTGTGGTGTGTCCCTTCGTGGTAGTGTTTTTCCTGTTGGGCTACAGGTTCCTTTGTCGTTGGTTTTGGCGAAGGTGTTCAGATATCGTGAGTGTCAAATGCTTTTGACAAGTTCCTTTGTGTAAGGGGAGATATAGCTACCCCTTAGGAAGCATCGCCGAGGTGACGGCCTTCCTAGGAGGACAAAAACCAGCTTCAGCTACCAGATGTGGGAACTTAGGTAGATTTGACGTGGCAAATTTGATTGACGTTCCTATCTAGTCTGTCTACATACTATATATACTAGCCTAACGCTGAGTAAGATTTGAGTAATGGGGATTACCTAATAGGAATCCCACACATTCAAGGACGAAAACCTCCAGCCATACCCCTAACTCCGTCAATCATACGGCAGCTCACACATTGCATCGGTCGTTTTGCGCCAATCCCGGGAATATGGAAGCATCCAGGCCAGTTTTGATGCTATTCAACTCTGAATAGGCCTGGCATGCCCCCCAAGCACCCCCCGTTCGAGCCATGTAACGACATCTCTGAGGGTACCACCAGCTTCTCCTCCCTTGCCACCAATGTTCTGACAAATCTGCTAACACAAAGCGGCAAAGATGATGAAAGATATGCCGAACGAGAGCGCGAGCGCACCAGGAATTGGAGGGCGGAGAAGAGTCGGTGGAGAGGCAAACGGAGTAGTCTCCCCTCGTGCAGAGGAAGAATGCGTAGCAAATACAACAGTACGATCATTCTGTATATTATTCCTAGATTTGGGGCAACAAAACATCAATTGCAAGTGGATGGATCTACTACCCACGCGACCGCTGCATTGATGATGTAGTAGATTGTGGAGAAGTATCGATTGCAAGTAGAATAGTACGCATACTTGCGTGCCGAAGATGAGGTACTGTTAGATACTACATTGGAAGATTGATGAATGAACTCTACTCAGAGCACCATTGTTCTAAATAGGCGGATTGAATTTGTCTGAAGTTACCAGCTGCGGCGCACAATTGTCAGAATACCAGCCCAAATATAAGGCATGAAGATGTTGGCCGATCAATCTTCGACCACATTATATCATGTAAGCAAGCTGATAACTGCATATCGGCGGATAAGACTTGAGAGTTGGATTGAGGCCTAAGAACCTGGGATCATGTCTATTAAATAAGCCAACTTCTCCTCGAAAGGAAGAGCAATCAATCAATGAACGCTCTTCCCACGATTTCCAACATCTCAGATATCGAAAACGTGGATCCAAGGACAGCTTGGATGGCGCGTGTTGTGTTGTAACCTACACGGCGGAGATTCTCTCAAGGAATTTTGAAGCATGCACCCGGAGCATACGATCTAACTTCGGCTGTACAACTTTCAGAAAAAATACTTGACTGACCCGTCAAGAAAATATTTTCCCACCACAAGGAAAGGACAAACGACGATGGAGGCCGAGCGGCAGCTTGGTCTGTTCATACTCTTGGGTTCTAAATCAAAGAATTGAAGTAGTTATCCCAGGAAAAGCTTCTTATAGTAAATTTCTTATAGAGGATCTGTTACAGACGGATCCTGCATCCATAGTCGAAATGCCAAGAGTCGCCTTAAAACTTGACCGCCCATAGGATAACGGAGAGATTTTTCCCCGCTTCGACTACCGATAAATCACCTCCAGCTTTGTCGCAAATACTTACAATATGGATAAATGTATTATCTTGACTAGCGATGAAAAGTCTTTTGAAGTCGGTACGTTCTCATAATATGCTCTGTAAATGCTAGAACTACACAGTTTGAATTGTAGCGCCCGACCGTCTTGGTTTTGCCCTCTTATTTCGAGACTTCCTAGATGACCTAGGCTTGACTAGTGAGCCATTTGTGCTCTCCCATGTACCCAAAATCGACAATTCCCTCGTACGACTCACTGATAGCACTAGGTTGATCATAATACTATGTCTATCATCTTGGAATGGGCTCTGGGCCACTACGTGGACGGGATTACCCTTCCTCCAAAACTCAAATTCTGGCAATCACGAGAGGACTTTGAGATTCTCCGAATCATACCGACCGCAGACTTTCTCGGGGCTGAAAGCTTACTAAATCAAGCGCTGACTCTCGCCAACCTACTCTTAGTGACGGATTACAAATTTCGAAACACCGTCGATAAAACCGAGTTCTCGACGCAAATAGCTAAAAGACTCTTGACACTAGATGCAGTGCAAACTGCCCAGAGACATTACAAGTACTATTGTCACGCGCGGATCGATGGTCCTGAAAGAGAAATCTGGAGCGAGATTGTCTGGAGTTTTCCAGAGAGTAGCAGAGCTGTGAAGGATTGGACGATCTTTATTTACGCTACTTTCACTACCAAGCTTAGAGTCATCAGTAAAGCGAGCGAAACTGAAGATCTCTCAGCATTAAAGACCTTCATACACGAATGGCGCCCCTTTATCAAGGTTACATTCGATCGTATCATGACTATATAAGCATCGTCTTTCCCGATGGACGAATTCTCGATAGTATCTTGGTCAGTGTCTTCTGTGTCTTCTGTGTCTCTTGACTAATAATCCGCTCGTCCCTATCTGCCGGCTACTATCTAGTTCATTACTACCGTGAGACTCTCGCTACTGCTTTAGATCTTGACGGCATGCCTTGCGCTCTGGATCTTCGATAGTTGCAATAGCCACAGCTGCCATCGCATCAACAAAATCGCTATACAAGATTGTCCAACGCTACAAAGAGCGTGCTAAGACTCTAAGAATACTATTAAGCGGGCTGGATGGCCTTCTCACCATTCTCAACACACTCTCTACAATAAACGAGACCAACGTGCAAGATTGACAAGGAGTGAGTGCTCAGAGGGGGTTGTGTATCAAGGATGCATGTGTGGCTTGCTGCGACCGGTCAGACAGAAGCGGTCTTGATCGATCGTTATGTGTTCGGGCTCGGAAGCGGCACAGGCCTTCAGTGTATGGATCCACATCCATTTTTTGTTGTACAGTGCGCAAACGACTGGTGGGTCAGGCTCCGAGAAGAGTTCTGATTGATCGGGATGCAGTCTTCGTGCGGGTTTTCATGATATGACGTATCTACTTGAGCGAGTCCGGAATTGCACTGTTCCTTTCGGCAAGGATTCTTGTATGATTGCGGCCCATACTATACCGTGGTCGGCTTGGAACGTTTCTGGTGCTATGTAATTTTATTGACGAGATATCTACCTCGTGAATAGGTTTATGGTCAACGACACATAGAGATCTTTATCATATCTGCTACCAATTCCTATGACCCGGGTCAGTGCTCCAGCCCAAGCACCAGATATATTTCCGCCGCCCTTGATGAGTCGCGAGTCTCTAGACGCTAGGCACTAATGCATACATTATCTTGTATCCTCAACCTGTAATGACATAGCTGGGATGTGAGCCAAATAAGAGCGACTTACGTCTCGTATAGTCCTACATATCCATTCAGCTCTATTATTAGAGTCTCCGCTTCCTTCCATTGATCGTAGAGACTAAGAATTAGGGCTTCCTTCCACACTTGTACCCGGCGTAGGAGAGAAGGGGGCATAGACTGACTTTCTGCCAAATTGGTAGAGAGTAAATCCAGCAGCTTATGCGTCCGATCGGTATGCCCAAGCAGGGTGATAAGAAGTTCTGATAGATAAGGAGGGCAAGAATCCTGCTGATGAGCAGTTTTCAGGTGGGTTTCTCGAGTCGTGTCCTCGAAATTCAGTCCACAGAGCTTATTTGACGCTGTTATATCCTCCATGGCGAGATGTTTCCGAAAATGATGTGTCTATGTCCAGGGTCAGGTCAGTGCTATCTCAGTGCAATTGCGGTCTGGTTATCTTCTCACCTCTAGATCTGAAGACAGGAACCGTCACGGTGTAAGACCGGAGATTAAGAATTATCTCGACAATCGGCCTGGGGTAAGCCTCGCCAGTGCTGATGTGAACCGCAAAGACTAGGAGTGGCGAGCACGCATAATCAGGCTGGCTACTAAGTTACTATGCTCGCTGCGTCGCAGGGTTGGCGATGGTTATGGCGCATGAGGGCCGATAATACTTGTGTTATAATAAGCGGATGGGATTACGGGGCCAAGAGAGTGTCATCCGTATCACTGCATAGACCTCTCAGCTTTCGGTAAGGGTTGAGATGGGGCCAATTCAATCACCTGTAATTTGTGGGCTCTTGACGGCCCAGCGTTGAGGGCTTGGACGTGCGGCTACTCAGATGCTACTGCCCTTCGTTCGATATCGGTGCATTTACCACTCCTTAACTTCATCACGGTATACAGTTCGTATACAGTAGTGGCATAGTGTGAGACTACTTTCTGTTCGGGTTTTGAGGCTCGTCAGGTCATCACTACAGCGTGTATGTCCGGTATCAAGTAAGAGTCGACCTTGCCCTGGCAGCGGCCATGGGTGCAGTCAGCGATCGTGGTGTTTGTCCCTAACCCCATCTACTATCACCGGAACCCCCCCCTTGAGCTATATGAAGAGCTGCTGGGCGAAAGGGTTCACTTAGGGTTCAAAAGTATACAATATTTCAGTCTGAAATCTGTGATTGATGGCTTCGGCATAGTTGATTGCTACAATCGATGCTGATTTCTGCTTCGTAACCCAAATTTATAGTATTCTTACCAAGCATAACATCGTAATCAAATCTCAGTGAATGTCTGACATCATCTCATCCACCGAATGATTTAGATAGTTGAGCTTCACAGGTCATTGCTACCGCCTAACAGTATCAAAAGATGGTCGTGTTACAAGCATGATTGGACTAAAGGGGGAGAAAGAGAAGCTGCGTTGTATCGGGACGCTCTTCAGCCAGGGTAAAGCCGCTCTTGGCAACAATGTGGTGCCAAGAGCGGCCTCCCAATGCGATCCCTCACCGGAACGTGTCTGCCGTAATGAGACTCGCCGCTTGCCTTCTCTCTCGGACACATATACTCAGTAACCACACGCATCGAGGGGAGCCAGTACCATCAATGATTCATCCTCATACAAGAAAGAAGCCAGCCCGCAAAATCCCAAGCTCTGGCACTGGGCATGGTTCGGTCGGTCGTTCCCCCGATATAGACCATACCTTCTACCGCTTACGTCGACTACACCGAACGAAGGCTTGCTACATACCTCCCCACCATCATCATCTCGTGGGCATAAACTTACCAGCGCTTTACATTGGAGCGTTCTTGAGTCGCAATCCCAACCCGTCCCTGCATTTACCCTCTACACAACCTTGATCGTTCACCACCTATATCATGACTTGCAAGTAGCCCAATACCTCCAGAAGCCCAAGCGTCCTATGTGACTATCATTGATAGCATCCTCAAAGGCGCTGATCTAAATACCATCTCTGCCAAGCGAATTCGGAAAGGGCTCCAGGCTCAGCTCGAATATGACATAAGTGACCAGAAGGTATAGCAACGCGCCTGGGCATGCCTGTAGTTTGGCGACAGGCTCTTCTATCATAGGAAGCGATCAATGCCTTAATATACGCGCGGTTTGACAAACAAAACGAGCGGAACGAAGCCATGGATAGCCGCCCCAAGCATCGAGGTGCCACCGCCCGCTACGAATTGCATCAAGACTGAAAACAGGAAGCAACCTAGCCCGCTGCCTAAGAAGCGCTCGAAACCCCATGACTGCGACGAACAAGACCCGACGCCATCAACGGAGCAGTTACCTCCACCGAAGAAGAAGATTAAGAGGATATCTCAGTCTCAGGAAGAAGACGATGCAGCATACGCGGCGCGCCTGCAAGCGGAGCTAAATCGGGCCAAGGCTGCTCCACTAGAAGAGGAAATGATCGCAAGAAGCCGAAACCGGTTGCAAAAAAGGCCAAGAAAAAGAGTGCTGCCAAAGTGAACAGCGACGACGACAGCGATGTAGCTTCAGGCGATAAAAAGTCGGTGAAACGTACAGGAGGCTTCCATGTTAGTGACACGCATAGAAATGGTTACATACAATAAACCAATACTAACAGCCCAGCAGAAGCCTCTTAACCTCTCCCAACCTCTCTCTGAGCTTTTGGGCGAAACTCAGCTCTCAAGTCCACAGGTTGTGAAGCAGATATGGGCATATGTCCGAGAGCGTGAACTACAGGATCCCAGTGATAAGCGCCAGATACGCTGTGATGGTCGTATGCACGCTGTCTTCAAGACTAAGCGAGTACAAATGTGCACTATGAACAAGATTCTCAGCCGACATGTGTACGCTGCTGACGAGTGAATGCATGGACCTGAAACACTTGCGACTGACAAGGATGTTGCTTCTTTACGATTTACATCTTTCCTCTGACCCTTTCGATACAATGCCTGCGTCTTCCATCCAAACACCGTCCTGGATTCTCGTACCGGCTTCTCTCTCGCATCTCAGCTGGCATTGGCGTTCGTTATCTTGCGAACGAAGGTGTACTTCTAGACCTTTCCCTGCCCTATATCTACAATCGCCGTATCTGTCGAGAGGGCATAACAAAAGAGAACTGGCCTCTAATTCACGTTTCTGGACATCTCCTGCGATTTGGGATTTTTATGCAGCCAGGATCTAATGTACGGTGCCTTGATGCAGCTGGTCTCTTTTCACTGCGTGCAGGCCGAGGATAGGCTATGTAGCCCCTCAATGATGTTGATTGGGTGTGTGAGAAGTCATTCCAGGCTAGCAAGCTGATACTGGACATCGGCGGATAAGACTTGAGAATTGGATTGAGGCCTTGGAGCCTGAGATCATGTCTATAAAATAAAGCCAACTTCTACGTGAAAGGAGGGGCAATCAATCAACGAACGATCTTACCACGATTTCCAACATCTTGCATGAAGATTAAGACCTCCTGGTAGTAATGAAGTAGAAAATCTTCGAGGGTGGTCTAGTCGCTTGATGGTCTCCTGTCTTGACATCTCAAGATAAGCCACAACGGCCTTACAAGCCCCTCAACTTGGCAGGATAGGATCCGGATGCCCTGGGCTTTATAGCTATGACGGGCTGTGCGAAATCTCTCGGAGATCTTGCTGCTCATACATTTGTTTCCCAAATTCATGGTGATGCGGACCTCAAATGGTATGTCATGTACGTCACGCGGACTACTCGCGTACTGTTCGTGGAATGATCTGTATTGTACATAGCCTATCATCCCTCTGTCACAATCACATCATCGGCTACCCTATCTCTTCTCTGAACCAATTTCAACTTCTTGGAACGGGGGCAAGTCTCGAATAGTTTTGGCGTTACGCGAATCGGAATGGGGTAATTCTGGTCCTGTTGGCCTTGTTAGTACATTCTCCCAGATGATCAGCGCCTTCATCTTACTAACGTCCCTCCCTACGTCGCGAGATTCCCTGTATAACGAGATGTAGAATTTCAACACCAGATAATAAATTCCACAACATCAGCCTGAACATGACACCCTCGGGATAGGCAGCTAAGGGTCTAAGCTATACTCACGCTTAATCTTAGCTGCGTAAACCTTCTGCGTAGCCTATAATCTCTAAATTAAGGAATTGTGACTACCGACGGCTTACTTTTAGAGACCGATAACATCCACTGTATTTAAGCAGTTTACTTAGGATTACAATGCACAGTAGATTGGCGTATGAACAGTCTATCCCGAGAGCTGCAGTCCAAGGTCTGTCTTCGCGGTGCTCAAATCCTAATTCAAAGCCAGAGCCTACGAATTTCTTGAGTTGAGCTTCCCAGGGTGTAATATACCGTTTTAGACAGCGCAAGCCTCATCGGGGAATCTGCGGGCTGTGCGAATCTAGCCCCTACGTCTTGGCTACTTGAATCGAGGGATCTGCTCACGTCAGCGACCTATAGGTTATAAGAAGCGTATTATATAGCCCACCGACTGAACGACTAGCCTGGCGATGAAGCTTTGCTAGACGTCGGCACATATAATTTTATCTAGCTCGAGCTAGCTGCATGTGCTGAACCTTGCACTAGGTAGAACATGGAGATTGTATGCGTGGTAGAGATGTAAGAGTAGTCGTAACAAGGATCTCCTTTCAAGTCTAGAATTTATATTCTATCTCCTATAGTTCTCGAGATAGTTGTACAGTATTTCGGGTCGCCAGTGCTATATTTAGCCCTTCTACTCCAGCCCCAATTGTCATATCGTACGCGGTACTGGTCGATTCTGTTATATGTCAGATCTGCTCGTCTGCCAGAACCTCCAGTTTAGGGTTATACTTGACTGTCTTTGAACAGACATGGCTTTTGTGAGTAGACTGTCTCAGCTAGTCAGTCTATAGTAAAATCTGGCAGGTAAGTACACGCCTAGTCTGCTTCGACGGCTTATGTAACTTGGGACGAGCAGCACTATTGACTTAGATCTGTGAGCCCAGGCGAGAGCAGGACCTTAACAAACTTCTCTCGTGGTTTTTCCCCTTTCGTCAGACTGTCTTGAAAGCCAGCTTTACCAGGTTTAAAGACCCAGGCGCAGTGTAGTTTATGGCTATCGCAGAGCTTGTCAATACCCCTTTCACAGGCTGCTTCATACTCCTCAGAGTCCATCTTTATATAGCACTGTGGAAGACATCGTTCCTGATGCAAAGTGAAGAATAAGCTGTAACCACCGTCTAATATATAGATCTCGGGATATGAGAGACACGGATATCTACAGCCATTGACCATACGGTCTCTAGCACGTATCGAGTCAGCCCTGTTACTCTAATATTAGTATTGATGAAATGTATGGCACCAGATATGGACATACGTAAGACGCGTACGATGTGCAGAGTATTCGCAATATAAAACCAAAAACGTTATTGAGGAGTCCTGTGACTCTGCTGTCTTGAACAAAAACTGTAGAAGCTGCTCCTCATAAAACTTCAGCGAGGAGATTCAACTGTATGCTTTCGCTTGTTCAGGCGCGGCTTCCGGGAGAAGCGAGCGCTAGAAGAGGGCCCGTGCGACAACCGCTCTTACGCTCTTCAAATCTATCGTGCCAAAACCGCAACAGCTCGTCCAGCTTCCGATCAAAATACTCCTGAGTCTTCTGAGTATCTGCCACTCTTGCGTTCTCTTCCGGGGTGGCCAACCTCAGCAGCGTGTCTAACTTGGCGACCATTCCCTTTGATCCTCCATTCTGCGGTGCGAGATGTTCTTCAAACGCGGTTGTACGTGACTGGACAGACGTCAAGGGTTTGCGCGGCGCTCCTAGAGAGGTACCGAGAGTTTTGTTTGCTTCGATGCCGCGTGTAGTTGTTGTCACTGTACGGCTGCTTGTTTGCCGTGGTGTTGGTGAAGGGGTGCTTGACGCGTCGCGCGCGTTCGTTGACGCGACTGCCATTGCAGGCAGCCGCTGGTGGTTCCGAGGTTCGATTCGACTTCCGTTTTTCTTTTTTCCTTTTAAACGTCGGCTCTAGCTAGGTAGGTACATGGGGGTCCCATCTTAATTTGGTCGTGTGGACGTTAGAGTGGCGCGGTGGGTCTCGAGGTAGCGCACGTGTGCTAGCGTGCTGATCAGAAACGGCAAAGCTTCGGAAGAGGGACTTGGTGACAACATTTGACTTTGACCGTACACTGACCAAACTACGTCACAGAACGTGGCTATGCCGCCCTCGTAACGCGCGATGAAGCAGTCTCCAGACTACAAGAAGCTCTACGAAGAGGAACAGCAACGACGAAGGCAAGCAGAGCGCCCATAAGAAGAGGCTGAACGCGAACAAGAGGAGGATGAACGCGCACAAGAGGAGGCAGAGCGCGCACGAGACGATGTCGAACAACGAACTCGCCAGACTACCCTCCCAGAACTGCTTCACAGCTGTCACATCCACCTGTCGCTCGGCCTGACCGTCCAGACCGCTTCCTCGCTTTCGACTCAAGGTGACGCCGGCAATGCAGACCGGAAGACCTGACCGGATCGAATACAACGGTGGAACGGTTTTGGGAAAGAACAGGAAGAGATATGGGCGGATCTGATCAGCTCGACCTTTGCGTTCGAGCGGCACTTCCGATCAACACAGTTTCTGCAACTCAGCCGGAGCCTCGATTATAACGTGGACTGCTTGAGAGCACACGGTGCACGCGGCGTGCTCTTTCGCATCCGACTGTCATCGCACGGATACACTGTTGTCGCCAAGGCCACTCCAGCCCACTTCAAGAAGCATCTGCAACATGAAGCAAGGGTCCACGACCATCTACGATCGATCCAGGGACAGTATGTGCCGGTTATCTTGGCAGTCTTGATCTCGTCCAGCCCTACCACTATGATGGTATTGTGGAACTTGTCCATTTCCTGCTAATGGGCTACAGTGGCACCTGCCTGGCACGGCACGCCACCCAAGAGATCAGTGAAGCTCTGATAGCGGAAGCCGGTCGGTCAATCGACGCTATACACGCGCTTGGCGTGTTGCACCGAGACGCGATGCCTCGAAATATGCTCTGGGATCCGAGCACGAAACGAGTATCGATGATAGATTTTGAGAGAGCAGAACTGCGAGGGGCACGGACAGTCCTCGGCGACCTATCTCCGAACCGGAAACGGAAGCGGCCTGGTACAAAGAAAGGGGGAATCAAACTGCCAAACATCCAAGTTTACTCTCAGGAACGGACGAAAGTCCTGAGAGCGCTGCAAGCTGGGTGAACGCTGCTCTGCCGCTATTACAACACTGGCTGTGACCATCCATGCTCACATTTGGCCCTCAGAACGCTTCCAAACTCGGATGCTTCATCGAGATGTTTGGGCAGTTGCCGCTACATATTGTACTAGACGGACACAATGGACTTAGGGGTTCTCGATATAACTTTAATACATGATCTCACAAAAGTAGAGCGACTTGTGATTGTGGGCGAAATAGCGCAGCGCCGAATGGGAGAGCAAGGCTTCAGGCTGCCAGCGGCACAGGGCTTCATTGCCCCTGGAGGATGTCTGATCACGGTCTCGAGAATAATAGATTGGACTGTACTACAGACCAGCTGGTAGCGTGTATCAATGGCCCGTAGAGTCTGTTCATTACGCGTAGATATTTTCAATGATCGAATATGCACACTTCCTAAATTACCCGCAAGTTATTGGAGCTAATTCCTAACTGGCTTCTGGCGGAACACGGTGCACGACCTTGCGGCACGTTAAAAGTGCCACATGCAATAGAATCCCCTACGGCACGCTGTCTCTCTTTCCTCTCTCTATGAAGATAAGCTCAGAACAACGTCCAGCATGTAAATACTGCTTTAGTTCGAATCATCCCGTCCGAGCCATCACACAGAGAACAGAGACTCTGACTACTGAGTATCAATGGGTTCCTCAGTCAGACCCACCTTCCCTCCGTATCAGAGGTATTCTCCTTATACACCTCACCCAAATATGGGTGATCATGGGGGTAGTCAATTTGATTTCGGTGGACAGTGGTCGCCTGGTCCTCATCGGTTCAGTCCATACCCTGCATCATCGGCACCAAGGACGCCTGCAATGACATATGCACCCGCTTACACATGATGTTATCTACTCATTTCACGGTTAGGAAAACCACCTGATGTCGAATATCTACCCACCAGTGCCCCATGGAGGCGTTCAACATCATAAACGCCCACGCAGGCGCTATGACGAAATCGAGCGCATATACAATTGCAGTTGGAACGGCTGTGAGAAGGCGTACGGAACCCTGAGCCATTTGAACGTGCATGTCACGACACATTCGCATGGCATGAAGCGTACGGCGGAAGGTACGTCTTAAGACTCACTTAGATGGATGACAATGATGCTACGTTACACTCACAAAGCGCGCGTAGCTTCATGCAGCTGCATAGCATTCTGCTAATTTGAATCAGAGTTCAAAGAGATTCGCGAAGAAGGGAAAGCCAAGAACAAGAAAAAAGAAGAACGGCTTCGAGTGGAGGATGGACGTACTGGCGCCGAAGGCCGTCAGACCAACTGCCCGCAAGTGTATAGTACACTCCAGTCTCATATATCGACGCCGGGCGGGGTCGTAGGTAGTGGTCCACAGCTCCTCATCAATAGCTTTGTTCCTACGCGTGGTGAACAAAGTCGCCCACATAGGGCTCAATCTCCAGCAATTCTGTATTAGACGCTCACAAGATTGATCTGACGAGATCTAATGACCGAGTAGCTTGAGAGGTGCTTAATGATCTAGGAACCTTCACAGAGTACGCTAGCTGATACACCTGTCAATGGATTTGCTGATCATCGACCGAGGCGTTGAGAGATCAGTAGATTTCTGTCGCTGCGAACATGGCCGCAGGGCTTCTACAAACTACATCTAGAGCCGAAACTGCGGCGAGTCGGGGACTTGTAGGTAGAGCTGTTATCCCAATTCTTTCTACCGGTTTCTTTGCGTCCAACCAAATTTTCAGAATGCCATTGATCAATCTTAAGTGCCGCTGGTGTGTGGTTGGAGGTCTTCGTATCTAGGCGACAGAGCTTTCTTGGTGAGGATTGACTAAGACTCTAGCACGCGCCTGTAACCTAACGGCGCAAAAGGCCAAGTCAGTCGCATTTTTGTACCTCCTCCCGAATGTGCCAAGCTTCTTAGATCAATTGTAACGTTGACGAGCATTCTTTCTTTTTTGATCTAAGCGATCTGACCAGTTAGGACTGTAATTGGTATCAGAAAAATCTCTAAAGTAGCGCCAACAACAAGCACTGGACCAATAGGATTTAAAGATAGCAGCTGTATTATGATGAAGCACGGTAACATGCCTAAGACACCAGGGTAGCATCTACTCCTGCTTATATCCTAGGCAAATAGTGCAATATTCGAACAGAATACTAAGCGGCACAGTGCTTAGCATTTTCATCTTACTTATGATTTGTCGCGATAACTGGATATAGTGTGGTACTCAGTTGGGCAGACTATTATTAGAGGAAGCTGTTCCCGTAGGCTGTACTGTGCCGCACTACTTTCAATGACCATATCAAAACTACTTTCCTGGTTTTCAATTTCAGACCAATCACCACGCTTGGCTGCGTACACCAGGATGGGCTGCGTGCAGAGGGCTGGCTGCGTGCAGAGGACTGGCTGCGTGCAGAGGACCCTAACCTTCCTAGCTTCGACCTTGCAGACCAATCACAGTTGCACGCAGCCAAACGTGCAGGGGCCAGCCTACATGCAGTATGCTGCCCCATTACGTGCAAATCCTGTTTCCTGTTAAAGTTCACGTGCGAGGGAAGTCAGCAGTGACGCTTGAGAAAGGAGAACCCGTGCATTGGGCCTCTAGAAGTATTCAAGTTAAGATACAAAACATAGTACACCAAAAAGAAGTGGAAGAAACGTAGGCGACGCCTTTGGATAAAGGGGTCGCGCTATCACATGAGCCAAGACCACATGCCAAAGCCCAATAGCTCAACACCATGTTGGTATCGTGACATTTCCTCCAATGTCGCTGTATTCAACAATCTGTTGTTGATCTCTCAAGCGCCCGCTTCGGGACACTTGGTCACCATAGGGACAGAACAATTGGACAACAGGATATCTGGACGTCACAGGACAGTATGACAAAATAAAGTAGCTTGACACATTACGCATCGCAATTTTGCATGTACCCACACTTCCAGACATCTTATGAAAAATCCATTTCTAGAGAAACGAGACCCTAATTTGAGCCTCGGTGCTTATCTGTTGCATAAATTGTTCTAGTCCTTTAGAGAAGCTGCATAGCTCCTTTCAATGTTTCCTTGATTATGTTTCTCGCCAGGATCTCCAAGGCGACAACACCAGTCTACAGACCTCGGTCATCTAAGCCTTAAGATTTCGTCGTTTACGTATGAATAATATTCGACATCTCGCCAACAACACCCTCGAACAACAAGTAGTACTTCTACGGGTGTAGTACCTCCGAAACCTTAGCGTCATGCCCTCTACGAAGTCTTATGATACAATCTCTAATGCTTCACTATGTTCCCGCGGCTAGTGTAGACACACTCTCTACATATTTCGCACCGAAACCGCAAGTCAGCGTGTCTACTTTGCTGGTGTTTGATCAGATTATTTGTCGTTTAGAATTGCTCATTGCAAAGCTTGCAATAGTGTTCGCGTCTCCTGATTGTTTTGCGTGTCGTACCCGCCCGCTGCTTCAGTCGTAGGTCTGATCCCAGTCTCTTGTTCACTTGTAGCACTCTGCTGTTCGACCAACAGAAGCACACCTAAAACAGATCCTCGCATCCAATCCTCCTCATACGACTTATCGTTATAATCGAGCTGATACATAAATCCAATCATCTTGGCAACGATTTCAGGATCATCGTCTATCAATCTTATGGTTCTTGTATCTTGCTCCTGTTGATGATAAGTAGGTATCTGAACCTCAACAAGTCCGCGTACTTTACCTCAAATCCTGACATGCACATTTTTCGAAAGACCTTCGAATGTGCAAAACACACTATCCGATGAGTTGGGAAGTATCGCCCGGGGCATACGATCATTAAATCGGAGAACTCTCCATCAATTGCCAATCTATGAGATGTAAGCTTGCTCACGCTATACATGGTATATCAGAAATGAACATATTAACTTACTCTTGAAAGGATTGAAAAAGCGCCTGGGCTGCAGCTGCTCCCGCGACTTTCTTTACAGCCGTGTTTGTGAGCGAAAAACCCCATTGTGGTGTACTATACAGGGACGTAATACGCCTCGATGAAATCTCTTTCTTAAGGCCATGTGTAGCTTTTGTATAGCGTTTTCAAGTACGTGATGGCAATGGGCACACAAGTGAGGCTTCGTTGAGATACCCCACAAACGTCAGCCTTGGCGTCTGACTCAGCTGTCACGTGCCTGCAGCTACGTTTGCATTTGTCGCTTTCATTGGGGTGTCTAAGCTGTAAATATTCAACACTAGCAGTACAGCATTAAATGAACACCCATACGGCTAACGGTAAGTACACAATATCGACCGGCTGCTAAGAGAGGCTCAGATGAGGCCGATAAGCTGACTGAATAGTGAATGCTCAGTCCAAGGTCCTGGGTGACTGGCTCCAGAAACTTTTTCTTGCCGCTGTCTGCGCGGAAGTCAATTCTGTATGCAACCTGTACCAATGATAACGGACTTCCTTCGTAGTATGCAGCTCAAGCGGCATACTGTCGCCTTGTTCACCACAGCTTTTTAATCCTTTGCTTCTTGAATTTCCATTCTCAATGCTGCTTGTTATCGTTTTTGGCCTGCTTTCCCCGCTTTGTCTTTCGTTGTACGTGTTTGCTTGTCCTCATTCTCTTTCTTCTGCTGTGCCTTTGCATTGTCTCTCCTCAGCTTTTCTTCCCTGGCGCGCTTCTCCTTCTCCCTGTTCTCCATCTTCCTCTTCACTTTAGCTTCCTTTGCTCTTTTTACCTTTTCTTCGTTTTCTTTCTTCCGCTGAGCCCTGATCTTCTCTTTTTTCAATTTGTCTTCCTTGGCCTTCTTCTCCTTCTCCTTGCTTTCCATCTTCCTCCTCGCTTTCTCTTCCCGTGCTTTCTTTTCCTTCTCCTTGTTCTCTATCTTCTGCTGTGCCTTTTGCCTCTCTCTCTTTACCTTTTGTTCCTTAGCCTTCTTCTCCTTCTCCATATTTTCCATCTTCCTCTTCGCCTTATCCTCTCTTGCTTTCCTTTCCTTCTCCTCATTCTCTTTCTTGCGCTTTGGCTTACTGGTTGTCATTATTTCCTTATCAACCTTTCTCTTTCTCATTGCAATCTCTTCTGTGAGCCTCGTCGCCGCGATATCACAGGTCACTTTCTGGACATGTGAACCATCAGGTTTAGAGCACTGTAGGGAATCAGCATTTACGTGATCAACATGTAGCGTCAGGTAAAATCTGACTTCACAAACCGCCTCTAGGGTAGTCACTGTTGCGAAATCAAGAGCTTGTGATGGGAGGTGTGACCTAGGATCAACGAAATTGTCGTTGCCAGCAATGGTCACTATCGCCCTGATGTGCTGCATTTCTGGCAAGATCTTGACAAGTCTCCATGGAATCCGCACTATCTCTGGTGATGGGAATTTTTCGGCCCACTCTTGAGTCCTATCGATCGGCCAACTTTGGTAGCTGAACTCTTCGGCCCCTTTGACAGTTGGATGTATCATATGAATAGACTTCACACAGCGGCCACCGATCACACCCTTCAAGATGGGTTCCTCGATGAGCTGGTAATTCGTATATCCACTTGGATTAAGCTTCTCCGGCGGAGGGGGTGACAGGACGGTAACTTTTGAGCTCTTTAGTATGTGGCATGCGAACAGGGCGGATGCGCCTTTCACGTAGATGGTCCATTGACGGGCCGATTTTTTCGGTTTCAAGCAAGACGAGTGTCGCTCATCCATCAGTGGGCCCATTACTGTTGTCAAGGTTTGAAGATTCCTCTTGTCGGCCCATGCTTGGGCCTTTTCGCGTGGTATGCCAGTCCACAACACTTGCGAGTCTTTACGGCACTCATGGTCAAATTGACGCTGTATTTGCTCTGCTTCTTCGACCGAAAGCAATATACGAATGAGTTTGATCAATGAGATCGGTCCTTGGGGAGCCAGGCTCTCAGCGGATCGACCGTAATCCATTGTATATCTGACAGTCTGCGGCACGTCTCTGCCGGCGATATCATTTCCGGATCATGATTCACCGCCATGGGTGTCGAAGATGGACTGACGACCAACATCGTGGTGAAAGTACTCTTCTTGAACGCGGGGTAAGGCCCGGAAGCGCCGGTGTCACAGCGGGCACCTGACACGGTAGGAGCAAGCCCCAATAGACTCCCACGTACTCCATGACGTGCGTGAGTCCTAACGTCCTATCGTGACTTTCAGATTGCGAAAATCCATTGCAGTGCCACAAGCGATGACGCGTAGGCTAAGTTTGTCCGTTATTATTATGTCTCTGAACGAGATCATTTGTGCAGCCTGTGCAAAGGCTTTCCGTCGTTTGCCGGAGGCGTTGCAAGCCCGTCACCTAGGCTGGTCTTGGCGGAGGCTGCAGCCTTTCCCAAAGTCCAGGATCTCCTTTCAGGCTTTAAATCTGCACAACCTCAAATATCCTGTGTCATAAGTGTTACGATTACTTTGTACAGCTTTGCATTTTCTATTTAGGCCATCTTACGAGCTCATATGTTATATTAAATGTCACAGGACGAGGGCTTCAGAGCCAGCGCGGCTACGCTGCAACGACGTCTCAGGATTGATATTTGCCTCTTCCAGTTCATCATCGCCATTTTAACCTTCTACTGCGCAATCGCAATCACTTGTTACCGCCCCTAGGGCAATTCCATCCTCACCTCAGCTGCAAGACCTTCGCTAACCGGTGCCAATTCGACACTATCACATCCCTGCATGACCGGGACAAGTGAAGACACCGTAGATCTTGGTGCTGTGCTAGTTGTAAGCTCAACTTTACTCCTCATGTCTTACTGTAACTTACTCTGCCGATGAAAGGAGCATAAGTTACTGATAACCTCGACTGTAGGCAATAGCACCTTACATTGTTCTTTGTCCTGATACGTTCTCCTTCGTCCTTTACCTCATCTCCTTCTTGTTCGGCATATTCGCATTCAACTCCCTGCACACAGAAGACTTCGACCTTTTTGACGGTTACGATTTTTTGGTCATTACGGGTCTGCTGTCTCTCGACCGGCAGAGTGCCTTTGCGAGCTTCCAGGCCATAATGCCGATGGTGATCTGGAGTGCGACTGTGCTACTACCACTTGTGCATTGGCTGGTTAAGAAGATTTCTCCAGCGATGTATGTACGCTATAGACGGATGCGGAAATCGCAGGCGCATGAATTCCGGAGAATAATGGGTCGAGGCGAAAGAGTGGGCAATGTCGAGGCTGGGGGGGGGGGGGAGTCTGTAGGAAGAGAAGAGGCGGAAAGAATTAACGAGGAGACACCACTGAGAAGAGACGAGAGGAAGACATAATAACATGCTCAATGTCTTTATTACGAATAGGATGAGGTTAAGCAGCCGGGTGTATATGTGAACTCAAGCTATACGGGCAATGAAGATGAATATATCAGGAGAGTATGGCATAGGTCACATACAATAAAGAGTATTGGAAAGGGTGAAAGGAGTGGGTATTCATATCTCCGAGCTCAAGCTCTACCTTTTGCATAACATCGTCATTCCTGAATCATGTAAAACCCAGAAGTTTCTGTCGTCCTGTAATAAGACTATGGAAATTCTGTTGGACCTTCTCAAAACGCACAAGATTACAGCTCTCGCTTTCGAGGTGATTGAAAAGTGCGGCGAGGCTGACAAATTCACTGCCACACTTACCGTTTGAACAATGATACAGCTTTTGGCTATGAGCTGGCGAGCCCAGATGCTGATTAAGCTGTCGAACAGTGTCGAATTCTCGATGGCAAAGATAGCATTCATAGCTAAACCCATTCCACGTGGCACCTGTCGCAATATTCTGAGTCTCGAACTCAGGATACTCAATGATTTCCATCGTTATTATACCTCCGGAATCGCGGTTCCTAATTGCCCGGTAAATCTTTTCTCGATTAAGATTGTTGGCTCTGGAGCATGAAGCAGATTCAAGGTGGGATAGCCCGCTGGCTGAGGTGAAAGGCCCCTTGCAAAAATGGCACTGTACCTGAGTCCCGCGGTGGATGCTCGAGCTGAGATGCTTAATAGTGTTAGTGAATAGTGGAAATAGCAACAAGCGATCTCTGCGAGCAGCATGAGGAGCTAACCATCTCGAGGTTGTTCTCGTTCGTAAAACCTCTGTCACAAGCACCACAATATTTGCTTTTCCAGTGATTTAAGGCATCCATATGCTGATTAGCAGAATTTTGATTATGGAACCTTCGATCACATATCTCGCATTTGATCTGTGGAGCCCAATGGCCCTTATCGTTCATATGCTGAGTGGCAGCATTCTGACTATGGAACCTCCGATCACAAGTCTCGCATTCGAATTGAGGTGTCCAGTGTTTGCTATCGTCCGTGTGCTGGTTGGCGGACCGTTGAGTATCGAATTCGCGATCGCATGTTTCGCATTCAAACCGTGGCGCCCAGTGACTAAGCGCATCCATATGCTGGTTTGCAGCATGTTGGCTGACGAATTCTCGCTCGCATGTTTCGCACTCATATTCGTCGTACATCTTCGAACTGTGACATAGGACTGCTCAAGTGTGCAATGGAAGCCCGTGAAAGGCGCCGAGAACATCCGGATGATGAAGTCAGTGAACAAAATGCCGGAGTGGTTGTCCAGTACGTCACGCTTCTTCGATGTTTTCTTAATATTGAAGTTGGCCGGACTTTGAGCGTGGGAAGATAGATGGGCTCGGAGGTGGAAGCGAGGGTTGGTCGTGGTGTGGCACAGCATATCTTTTACAGCCTTGCCAGTGTGACACAGAAAGCGGGGCAATCCGCACGCTTGGAAATGCTTCATTGTGCCGTATGGCGTGCGCGGAACCTGTACAGATGTACAGTGCGGTCTCGCCATAACGATATGGTATTTTTGATCAATTTTCTAGCAATATAGCGTTATAACGAGTGAAATTTTGGTGAAAAGTGGTCAATGCGGCCTTAACTTCAACTCGCGCACGTGCCGTAATGAGGCTTTCTTGGCATCATTATAACGAGACCACACTGTACTCCCACAGATAACGATATACATATCCCTGCTCATGTCGAGCGTTTCCATTGCTTGAAGCATTAAGGCAGCTAATAATAATAATAATAATAATATAATAATATTGTATAACTAGGTAGAGTAATACTCTACAGGCGTATGCCTCCTCTAGTCTAAGCTATTATATAAGAAGAAACCTACATGTAGGAAAAACTTTGCCTATATATGTATACAGCCATAGGAGTAACCCATAGGCCTACAGCCTGTGTTACCGTGGTTTTGCCCTCAGGCAGCACGTGCAGGTGCGGGGATTATTAGTCAAGGGCAGCCCTTGACTAATAATCGGAGTTTTCTCGGGGTCTTCCCGGCGTGTACCGGGCTTCTTCCGGTATATATGTCCTCGTCCATTGGTACTGGGGGAGAGGGAGATGCGCTAGCATCCACTGGGCGACGTTCCTAGGGTATTCGTTAAGCCATCGTGTGATGTCAGAGGTCTTAGTCGTGTGGATAAGTGATTGTCTTTGAGTGTATAGATCGGGGCATATTGCGAGGTAGTGTCGTATGGTACCTCTCCGCCCACACCCTTCGCACCACGGGGACGCGTTTGGAACGCCTCTTAGGTGTAAGTAGTGTGGAAGCCCCATGACACCCATACGGGCTTGATGGAGTATAGATGCCTGGGCCTTTGTAAGCCCTTTGTACATCCATTTACTTGGCTCCTTCCATGGTCCTTGGATCCATTGTGGATACCTGTCCTGTTGGGAGGCCCATTGGGAGCGTAGCACCTCCCTCTGTTTGTCATATATCCACGATCTCAGGCTTAGGAGGACGTCTGGGTTATTCCTGATTTCTCGCGCGGTTGTATTTGAGTCTATCTCCACGGAGCACTGGTACCGTAGTCTTGTTCGGCCTGTTCGTGGAAGTGCCTGGCAGTGTATGCGAATTCGCGTGCGCAACTCGGCGCCTCCAGTTCGAAGTCGGATGACTTCTGCAGGTTCGACGTGCCCTATACCATCAGGCCCTGCTCCTGTTTTCGCCTTATCTCATCCCCTCTGGGCTTATACATCCGGCTCTACTAGAAGAGGGGCACGACGCCTCCTCCAGCCAGGAAACTGCGAGGTTTGCTCCTTAAACCCATGTCACCAGCGTGCGTGCCTAGCGACACGTTCTGTCTCTTCATGAATCGACACGCGCATCCGTTCTCTCGGGCCATATAGTAGTCTCCCCGGCCAGGACGTGATCCCGCCTACTTCTAGGTACACCAAAGGTCAGAGCCCATTGAAGGGGTGAGGTCCTTGGAGCCAGCAGTCACTACTATATACCACGCCCCGCCTTCAAGCATGGCTGCTATCCGGTTTCGCGTTGCCCATGAGGATCTCTCCACGATGGGCCGACCGTGTCTTGCAGGCGAGCATCCTTTGAATCCCATACGTGTACACTCGCGTGACGCGCCTAGGCGACTCAAGCATCCTCTACCTACTAACCCGACTTGTTTCCACTGCTTTTTGATGGGTCCCTGTAGCCGCCTCTTGCCTGTGTCCGTGTACCATTGTCTGTGTGCACTAGTATCCTGCCTCCCACGGTAGACTGTGACATCTCTCGTGCGCGGGAGCCACTCTACCTATCTACGGTGTAAGTGGTATCTCGTATCGAGCGAAAGGTCTTAACAGAGTCGCGCTGCTGGTGGTCGCGCTGGGCAGCTTAACAAACGTAGTTTAACACTGCAGGAGAGTCAGCCTTAGCAAGTTCATCAGCAGCAGTCTGTAGTTGCCCTCGACGTGATTTCTCGCTGATCCTCACGCACCCAGAGCCATTCAAGCCTCGAGGTGTCCTGTCGCGCTGCTGGGACTTCCGCTTTCTCTACCCATATGGTATGGTAGATTCAGGCCTGCTTTCGACACAGCAGCAGCGCGTCGGGTGGTTTTCTTATCCCGGTATCCTCGTGGACTCCTCTTGACGCGTTGATTGAGAACAGGATGGAAGTGTATGCTGTCCCAGCTGGTTTGTTGCGGTGTGGTCCCTGTAGAGTGACGCGTCGCGAAAACTCTGCAACCACCCACCCAGCGACGACGAGGTCGCCATCAACGCCGCTCCGAACCTCTTGCTACCTCCGAGGAGGCATTGCCCAGCTGCGACGACGTGGACGCGGTTCGTGAGACTTCGCAGCCTAGGCATAATATATAAGATACGGAAGTATTGCAGCCTGATAATAGTAGGACAGAGAATGTTCGGACACTAGTCATTGGAGTCCGTAGTGAAATGCTATGATTGGTAGGCCAGGATAGATCAAGTAATACTGCGAAACCATCATCGAATATCGTGCAGAGATCAACGGAGGCAGCGCCGCCAATCAGGATATAAGAGTGCTTCTGGCGTAAGTACAGCGTTACCAAGCACAGATATCCGGTCCTAATATCGACTGAGAGATCGAAGTTCTGATTGGATGATCTTGCTTCACGGGGAAAAAAGCTTCATGGGAGTTGTTGAACTTCGTGATCATACGTTTGATGCTACAAAGGCTTAGCACACTGTGCACGTGATACCATGAAACCAGATGAGAAATAGACTAGTTTTCTTGACGGAACATGTCCATACGCTCAGAAAAGAAGCGGATTCAGGTGAATGTAAAATCCTGCATGCTTTGAGACCCCTCGAGACTATTAAATTCTCGAAGCAGACGGAAAGGTGATACTCAAGGGAACATTGAAGTGGGTGCGGGACAATAAAGACGACGTCATTGGCTATCTCGATCGGTATAAAGCTAGACCTCCACTTCACAGCGCTCGACAAAAGGGCCTCAACGTTGGCTACAACAATCTGGATACCTTCTGAGACTAAAAAAGGCCCTGTACGGACTCAAACCAAGCCCTCTCTTATGATATAAGACTCTAAAGGCAGCCACCGAGCTAGGGTACACCGTGGTTGAGGGGGTGCCATGCTTGTTTACCGATGGACAAGGTGTGATCATGTTCTTCTATGTACGAACACCTTCGCGCGGACATGATCAAGGAAGGGAAAGAGACGTACGACGGACTGCTAATAGAGACCAAAGCTGGATATAGTACGCGGTGATTAGGTTCGCACTCAAAACGGGGAGGTTAGCATGAACGAAATAGAGGGAATGCCATGAGGGCAGAAGAGGTCTGGTTTCAATCAGGAAGCAGTTTGGTAGATTCGCTTAGCTAGAAGTGGGGCTATATAGGACCACGACCCTACAAAGCCAAATGGAAATCCAACCAACTAAGTTAACCAAACAATTAATCAATATTGCGGAATATGTCGATGTGCAACCATCACATCTGACAACTATACCAACTAACAAGTCAGTCGACTTGTATTCTGTCAGACAATTTATAGCCGATAAAGTTACGTCGTAATTACCATTGGTTCAGGATCTGCTTGCTGTGATTTCGATGGAGTACAGGTGAAGAGTAGAACGTCTACAGAGTACCTACCAGTTTCAACGGTAGCTGTACAACACCTTCCATGGTGTGATTCTCGATATGTTGTGCGAGGGGACACGCGGCCATTAGCATACTTCCAGCCACACTCTTTCACCCCCAGCACAGCAAGGCCACATATCAGTGGGCTTTTATATTCACGCCCCACACGATGGTCGATTAGGTGGGTGCAGAATCGTAAACATGCCAGCTGCACCTCGACTGGGCGATACGATTCAATTCAATATTCGGACGCGTGTGAGGAGCGTAAAGAGCTCTTGGCTCCTTGGCTTTAATGTTGGCGTCGCAGATAGACAGAGGCAAAAGCGGTGGCTGAGTAGGTGATCAATGCGTAGTATCCTGGTGGTCGATGAGGTGCCTCTGACTACGACTGCTCCCCTCAGGGACGGCCTTTCTTCAGGGCCCCAGACTCCGCGAAGAACTTGGGCCGGGTTGCCCGCCGCAACTGTGTGTTTAGGTACAGTCTGGGTCGCCATTAGTACAGTCGAGACACGACATATGTGTACAGAATATGATTAACCTTGCAGACTACCGAGCCAGCATCTGCCATCAAAAAGCAAAGCACCGTCAGCGACAGGAAGATCGGCATCGTATATCCTGTCGCATAGTAGATGGGTATGCTGATAAACACAAAGAAGAACAGGTACGCCCATGTATGCGCCTCCCAGCCCTTCACAAAGTCCAACATCACCTATGCTAAAGACTTATCTCGTGGTTGCATCCGCGCGAGACACGTACGCTGGACCTTCCTCTTCGCACCCTTCTCCACACTAAGCACCCTCAAAGCTTGAGGACCCAGCTCACTCAACATAGGCGCTTGACTCGACTCGCTAGCCCTCTTCTCGTCGTCCTCAGCCATGCGCTCAGATGCAGTCTCAGACTCAGCCTCATCTTCAGTCGCCACAAATTCGCTTCGTCGCACCTTTTCCATGCCAAGCTGCAACAGCCGTGAGGTATATGCCGTGACAACATATTGCGCCACATACCCGACGATGAAGACAACCATCATCTTGCCGACTTCACCGCCGCTAATGGCGGGGCTGAGCGGTAAGAGGATAAATGAAGATGTGAAGTACAGATTCATAGTCCGATATCAATGACAGCGAGGACCTAGTACTGTTAGTATGGCGGTGGTTTGACTTGCGGGCAAGGACTGAGTTTGTCTGAAGTTACCAGCTGCGGCGCACAACTGTCAGAATATCAGCCCAAATATAAGGCATGAAGAAGTTGGCCGAGCAATCCTCGACCACAGTGTATTATGTAAGCAAGCTGATAACTGTATATCGGCGGATAAGACTTCAGGGTTGAATTGAGGCCTTGAAGTCTGAAATCATGTCTATAAAAGAAGCCGACTTCTCCATGAAAGGAGGAAATCAGATCAATCAAGGAACAATCTTCCCACAATCTCCAACAGCATCTCTGGCCGGTGTGTCCATATCCTTGGCAGTTGAAGCACTGTGTTAGTGCCCATGCCGTGGTTCGGCCATGAGTAGTTCCCCTTCGGCTAGAAAACCTTCCTGTGTAATCCGAAGAGCAAGGGCGGGGTCCCTTAGCTCCACTATTATGGTGGAGTGTCTCTTCATCCCTGTTTTCACGCCCTGCGTGTTCTTCCACCATGCCTTCTCGATCTTTATCCCCGGGTATTTCTTCTCGTTGGCCTGTTCCATTCTCTCGACGTCGTCGTTACCAATGACCTGTCCGCGGACAGATACTGCGTGGACCATGATCGGGTATGTGGCCGTTCGGACGGACGCACCCGGGATAAGCAAATTATACCTATTTTTAAGACTTTTAGCCACTTCTACGGATACACTTCAGTCCAGTCCAGTTCAACTTCAATTCTACTACTAGGATTGACAGTTCAATCCAATTCTACGACGGCTAGAATTGAAGTACTTCAGTCCAGTTCAACTAGAGGCCCAAAGTTGAACTGAACTGATTGATAGGAAGTGTGGTTGCGTTGAAGATGTATGAGGACGAGTGGCGCCTCAGTAAACTGTACGTCGCGTGCTTGAGGGTAGCATCAGGAGGGCTCTTTGGAAGTAATACGTGGAATGGTGGTAATATAGGCCTTCAAAGAACTGAGTCAGTATAGCGGGACGACCAACCCCTAGATTCCACTGAAACCCCCTTCTTAGCTCCGTCACACTTAGATAAGGTACATACGAATCTTTGCGATCCGAGCCATCATCTATGGACCGAACACTCAACTGACAGCCACCCAATTTATCAATCCTCCAATGCTTTAAATTTCGGTGTACCAAAGAAGGTCCCAAGACTAGCAATAATGATATAAGAAATAAAGAAGCTGTATGGATATTCCGGAATGATGTGAATATACCGTACCGTCGGGGTTATCTACTTCGGTCTCGATGTATACAAGTTGAATCTCGCCGGCAGTGTGGGTGATAGTCAGCTCAGGAAGCTCTTCGACGATCTTCCAGGTCGTTGTATTGTGCTCCTGGAGGATGTCGATGCCAACAAGGCTGCGCAGCGGCGCTTGCCAGATTCTGATGGCCATGAGATGAGAGCTTTGATCGAGGAGGTTCTAAAGTTGGAGGTGTAGGAAGGGCAACTAACCATCCCGAGAAGCTCGATAAAGCACTGATTCGGCCGGGCAGAATTGACCGGCGAGTGAAGTTCGGCTATGCGAAGCAAGTAGGGCGGAAGTGCCAGGTCGTTCCTCTGATATTCCTCCTGATCTGCGAAGATGGGATTGGGTCGCAGAACCATATTAACGACCAAGGAGAAGTACTATAACATGTCTCCTGGTCCATACTTCTCCCTGTGTGTACTTTCGTGACATACTGTAAAGCTGCTGTACTGTGATTGGTGCCCGTAGTAGCTGTTGCTGAGCGGTGAGTTAGGACAGGATCCCTGCTCGCATTGGGAAAGAAACAGTAATGCATACAGATAGCACGAAGGCAGTAGAAACTTGATCCTACAAGGGTACAGACACGCTAGCCCGGGGTAAAGCCGCTCTTGGCAACAATATGTTGCCAAGAGCGGCTGAAGGAGGAAGAGCTCTGTAATCCATCCGTAACTTTTTCAGCGCAACTCTTGGCACGTGTCGCGCGCACAACAAACACATTCTCTTCAGAAGATATGAGCAGGTCTTATAGAAATGTTGATCAAGTATCCTCCTTATGGTACCAAGGTTCTGAACGATCTTAAGAGAGTCTAGAATTAATAATTCTAGAGCCCAATGATTTTCAGATTCAAGAAGTTGCCGGTAATACTGTTGTAGGATATCGCATTATGACTCAACGTCGACACCAACTCCTGCTTTTCTGGCAGCAACTGCTTCCTCAAATGAGGTGTCTATCCTAGACATTATCACATTAGCCTTTTGCAAGCATGAAGGGACAAGACAGATATTGAGTTGTGCTGTCAAAGAGTTTGCCGTACATCAAGCCTCCCTAACTAAGTGCAGCTCTCCTACGCACTCGTCCAACCAACCATGCCTGTAAGGCTGTGGGGGGACCATATCCCACGGGGGCGGCGTGAAAGGAGCCCTGCCAGTGGTCTTCTTGGTTTTGAGTTTAGGAGATCTTTTGTGCCATGTTTATTGTGGCATAATTAATTGGACCTAGGTATCTTGCACTCTTCCGATAGGCGTGGGCATAAGATCAGCATCAGGTAGGCGGCAACATCATCGAGGTGCTGACTTCGCTTAGGAAATCGCCACAGCTTACGCATGCACTTGACGAAGTCTCAAAGACTTAAAATCCCTCTCTAGAACGCCTTCACCCGCAGCAAGAATGTGCGAGCACAACGGGACCATGGCGCAATCGTGAATCCGTACATGTCGAGAGTGCATATTATTACAACATTCTCGCGACAACGACATGATTGGATGTGCACCAACCCCCGGCTCGTACCTGTATAGCTGATAGATTTCTTGTTTTCGCGGAAAAAAACACTACCAACCGGGGGTCGCAAAACCCACCGATCACCGAAGCCATGAAAACATTCTCCATAATCTTTAGCTCCAAATCCGCAACTTGCATAACTTAAATCTCCTCTTCATCTTTGCCTTTAATTGTGCCTACAATTGGATCAATAACCTTAATACTATCACCACCACCAGGACATAGAGCTCCTGCTTTTACCGTATGTCCTTCGTCGTCGGAACCCCGACCTGGGCTGGTTCGCAACCTATTGAATATCAGCCGCCTACAAGACAATCTGCTACCTCGATACCTCTTGCGGGTCCAATTCCATACTGGAATACTACTTCACGCACCAAGAAGCGCTCATCTCGCGCTCAACAGGTGCGTCATGCATTCGTATTCAGATTATTCCAGACTTGGGAGGCTAAAACATTCGTTGGCTTGCAAAAATTGTCGTCTTCAAAGACGGAAGTGTGTTGGAAATCGACCCTGCTTGTTCTGTAGAGAGAAGAATATCGAGTGTGAATACGCGGAGGTTCCCCCTTCAAAGTAAGTATGCAAAGCAAGCGTGGCGATCGCTGAGTAACAAGCAAAGGGCCGACAAATCATTTCAACTCCTCACGGAGAAGTTGAATACTATAGAGGAACACTTGAACCGTAGATTAACTCGTATCGAAAACGGTTCGCGCGCCAATGGCACTCATCTTCAACCAGAAACCAACCATCATCCGCAACAGTATCAACACCAGCAACAACACCAGTACCGGCGAGAGCTAAATGAATTCGATGAGCATAGAACCGCTGCTCATTACCTTTTGAAACATGGCCAGCCATGGCAAAGTATTTCAATTCCATTGTGCCTCTCTCGGAGAATTACCCCCTTAAGATTGAAGAGGAACGGGGTAGTTTACAGATATACGGTTGGGGTGATGGTCTGACACACGAAGACGAGGCCCAGCAAGTCGGTAGTCACGCTAGCAGCAAAACCTACAGCGAAACTCTGTCCATGTGTTCTACGTCGGACAGCGGCCAAGCTTCCTATGGTTTTAATGACAAGGTGAATCGCCTCGATTTCACGCCATGCACGGTTAACAGACTTCTCGCGAGTTATCTGGATCACATGCATGTCTTCCATCCTTTCCTCGATAAAGCACGGCTAAAGAAACAGGTGGACGCATTTGTAGGCAGAATGAACCCTCCGGCCAGTACAAAATCTCCTCTACCTATTCCTCAGCACCTTTGAGATCATCATCGACCGACGAAAAGACAGAGAACGGATGTCGATGAGGGCGAGCCCACAGCCGTTCCGATCTACGCACGACCTGCACAAAGCCATGTTCGGCCTCCAAAGACTGGAGGGACCATAACAGATGCAATCATCCTACTTGTCCTTGCATTGGGCGCAGTTCTGCAGGAAGATAGACTGATCAGGGGTTCTCTCAACCCTCGCAATAAAATTGCCGAGTCAATCCACTCTCCTTCGACACGAATGCGATATTCACCTGTAACCTCAATAGGTCTTCGGTCGCCTGTCGAAGACAAGGATCCAGGCAGCCCAGCACGTTTAAACAAGGAACTCATGAATCTGGACGTTATTCCTGGTCTACACTACTATGCGTATGCGTATGCGTCCAATATCCTTGGGAATCTGTACGGTGGTAACGAAGTTTACCATGCCCAGGCGTTTCTACTAGCGAGCCTCTACATGAACCAACTTGGTCGTGGCTTAGAGAGCTATAGCTGGATTAATGCTGCAGCCCGGGTTATTAGGTTCAACCTTAGAATGTATCTTACTTCCTAGCTATATGAATCATGCAGAACGCTGACTCGCTGTAGAAATCACGTATATGTGAAGCCTGACCCTACGGACCCTTCTAAATATAATCGCCAGCAGCATCCCGATAATCTACCTCCTGGTGAGGTAGCCAAGTTTAAAATCAAGATGAATCTCCTCAAGTTCGTATATTGGTCAGCAGTACAGCTTGAAAGGTTAGTCTAAAACGATGAGGCACCATTAAATAGTAAAACTGAACTATAGCAGTGATATCCTTGCATATTTGCCACTACCAACAAGTCATATAACACTTTGGGAAGATCGAGTTGCCTATCCGAAAGATCAACCAGTGTCTGGCGAAACGGGACAAGTCGATAACCAGCGTGACATTATCATAGTGTTGTTTTTGGCACAGATACAGTTCCGTAAGATACTCAACCAGGTCCCTATGCATCTATCCACCTTATGGGACCATCCACCAGACAGCTTCCCAGCTGGCGTCTACGAGCCTCCATTCGGTAGAGAGGCGTCAACAGGCATACCTTCGTTTCTCAATTGGCTATATAACTGGCGAAACGTGAGTAAAGCGATGGGCGTGGATTGGGATGATTATGACGATCCTTCCCCCGATCTGAATATTGCTAGGCTACGGGCGGAATACTATGGAGCAGAAACAATCATTACTCGACCATACCTACACTACGTATACCATTGCCCAGAAGCCGACCGAGATGTACTTAAGCGAGCATGGACTTACATCAGATCTCGAAAAGCGAGCTTGACGGCTTCAAAGCTCCGGGAAGCGGAATGGGGGAATTCACTTGAAGATCTTCTTGATAGTGGTCCAACTCAGTCTTGGGATGGCATTAGTACCAAAGCCATCAGGAGCATGCTGCTTAGTCATACTTGTATGTGGTCCTCGATCCGGAGTACGAAAGCTTTCGACGGTATTCCAACGTCTAAAGGTAACGAATATTTTTGGCACAATCCATGCGTGAGTATCCTTCATTATTACATAAGATATCAAACACACGATATGAAACACCTAACATGAGACGACAGTCAATTCGGAAATTGCTTGGTTCTTGCACAGTGCTGCGAGTCTGTATGGTTTAAAGACCTTGACGGGTTTGCCCCGATCCATGAAATCCCCGAACTCCTTGAAGAAACAATGCACAAATGCAAAACATACTCAAACCTCGCACCAGCTCTTGTCAGAGATTATCAGATTTTACGCCAAGCTTCAGATAACATCAGAGGATTGAGAGCATCCAGCACGTATTAGATGTACTCTCCAGAAGAGCACACCTGATCATCATAGCTAGTACATTGTTTAAGACTCATATCATGTGGCGTGAAATAGCATCAAAATGGCAGTTTTAACTCTTGTCACTCTCACCGACACGCCTGGAAGTCCGTGACCCGGTGTGGTACCATGATGATCCCATGATGATCCCATGATCCGCTATGTTTTGCAAGGATATGTAAGCAAGTACCAGGATACTACAACTTAACCACTTTCCGTTAATCCAAGCGTGTTTGTAGCCTCATTTGGCTGAACATTGTGGATGTTGAGGTGCTGTGAGTGCTTGAGCTTTTCAGGCTCTATCATATGTTAGGCTTCTAATCCGCCTTATAGATCTTCAGGCGGGGCGGTGGTACATAAGTTTCAGGGTTGCTGCACCTTCTGTTAGGTGAACTCGACGCCCTGTCTTGACAATTTTATGTTTTGAGATCGGGATGCAGAGACCAACTGCGGTGTAGAACTTCGCTGTAGTGTGCAACGCTAGACGTGTCAAGAAACGACGAACAAAGGTGTTGTTGATAGCAAGATGCTCGGTGCCGTAGCCTCTATATCATATCTAGGCGGAATGTACAAGGGTGTCATCTTTTGCGATTGTGCGGTGGGCGAAAAGAGCGTAGGGGAGAAAGAGTTACCGAGTATCAGCAATAGAGTATTCATCCCAGTACAAAATATATAGTATTATCACTGGAAGTTTATGGTTCGGCGATATGCTCCAACAGGATATTGAAGCTGAGCAAAAGTGCCCACCTCGCGAGCTCGAAGTCTTGCAGGGATACATCAAATCCAGAAATCTCCGTAGAAATGCTCGAACTGCGATCCTTTGTCTTGACATGTATCTGATCAGGAGCGCTTCCATAACGTAAAATCGATCTTGCTGGAAAAGCCCCGGTTGTGGGAAAATCACTACAAGCATTCATCGTATCTGTCTCCTCAGCCAGACCATTGAGCACTTTGTTTGAGCGCGTGAAGGCACGGATTCGAGGGCGACCTGGTAAAGCGTTTCGATGGACTTCTAGAAGGACTTCGGATCCAAGCTCTCCCGCTACGCCGCACACAGACGACGCTTGGATGATAGGCCTCCATGCCTTTCCAGATTACCGGCATACGTTCTCAGTCACTTCTTTACGTCAGTGTTTCAACTGTTGAGGTATCAAGCTGCAGTCTTGTTTTAACAAGCCAGATTGGATTTGTAGCAGTCGCTGTTGGTATCCCAGCGGCAACGGCAGCGTAGGCGTGAACTATGGCCGCGTCTTCTCCGCACCCTAGCATCTGCGCTCCAAGATATTTACAGTTGCCGTATACGTAGAATTTAATTGCAGTTGCAGGGACTACGCCTGCAAGGCTTGGCCCGAGACCTCGATAGAAGTCGCGCTAGCCTTCGGTATGGGAGATGGAGCCAATGATCTGGAAGGTGCCGCGAATGTGGTCCTTCGATGGACCAAGAAAAGTAAGCCTGGACTGGACGGGAGACGCAGGAACGAGAGAAGGGCGGTGGTAATCTGATTGGAGTCGAGTTCGCAGACCATCAAGCGGGGATGTAACAAGCGCTGTGGCTAATCCTCCATTGCTTTAAGCAATCAAGGCTGTTCGTGACTTACGCGCCAGCAAGCAGATGTACCCAAGATCGTACCGGTCTCTGCTCTATCGAGCTACTATTTTTTGTCTTTGGAAGTATTGCTGAAGACTGAGAGCTGTGACGCATCGATTCCTGTGCCATTCTCGTGGTTCATCGACGGCTATGTGCGTGCAATGGAGTGCGAGCTACGACGAAACAAGTCGCGTTGAAACGGATGTACACGCATGCGACACAGAAGAATTCATTGGAAGACCAATCAAACGAGCAGTGAGAGAAAAATTGAGAGCGTGTTGATGAATATGGAGCTTCTGTAATATCGCAGTGAAAATCTCGAGGAAACACGAATCTAAGCTGCGAGAAAGTCTTGTAGTTTCGGCAGAGCCGAGGAGTCCCCGGGGGCTGAGTCAAACAACCCGAGTCTTGCAACGTCTCCAAAGACTTTCAATTCGGACTGAGTGTAGTCTACAACAAGATAGTTCTTCCACTTCGAAATCAATTCGCGAAATCTGTAGGTTTTG